TAGCAGAGGAAGAGAAATGTAGGGGAGAAGCAATGCATAGGGTAAAAGTTAAACTTATCCCTTGTCCACTACTTCTTTCCAAATTGTTCTCTACCCCCACCCCCCTGGGAAGTTTTAGATTTTGCTGGATGCTCAGGTTCTCTGCAGGTCTACCACAAATTAACTGCTTTGTCTCCCTGGTGAAATGTTTTTATGTGCTGTCATCTCTGACTTAGGATGATCCGATAAATGAAAGATCTCCAGAACATCCTGTCCTTGACAACCCTACTCAACTCCCGCAAATTCAAGACTATGGATTCTTCTATGGAATTGATCCATCTCATACTTGCTCTTCCTTTTCTTCATCTGCCTTCAGCTTTCCTTAGCATGATTGTCCTCGCCATTGAGTTTTGTTCTCTCATGACGTGACCAAGGTAGAACAGCTTCAATTTCATAATTTTTTACTTCTACGGTAATTTCTGGCTTGATTTGATCTAGCCCTACTAATTTATTTTTCAATTTATATCCTGCCTTTGTAATTTGTCTTACAAAGCTCTGAACATTCCTCCATATAATTGCTTGCATATAGAAAACTAAGGTTATTTTTTTTTTAAGTTTATAAGCCGACAGGGCTTTCCAAGCGGTAAACAACAAGATGCAGACCAATATAATTAGAGTTCTCTGGCTAGAGTGAATTAGACAACTATCCGGTGGCCTCCTTTCAAACCAAAAGGATCATTAGTTGCAATAGTGACAAGAAAACAAAAACAATTGAAGGAACTATCAATTCAGATTTTCAAGTTCTCTTTCTACTCTCCTTGGCCCTGAAGGGGTCAAAAGGACAGCAAGGGCAGGATGAAACAGAGTGGCTCCTTTTCTCACACTTGTCTGAGTGCAGTCTTTATTATTGGCACACGAGCAAATGGAAAGGCTGCCCAGTTCAACATTAAATTATTTGGTATCTAACAAGAAGAGTTCCATCTAGCGGCAAAAGAGCATGTAGCATCTTTGGAAAATAAAATATATGTAACACTGTTAGATGCTTATTTCAAACAGGTTTATAGTAATTTTAACTCTTCCAGTACAACAGAACAATCTATTTCAATTAACTGTCATATCAACATATTTTTACTGGTATTTTCAAAAATCTAAATGAATGTCTTTGTTTTTTTAAAAGAAATGATTTTTGTTAGAAAGATACTTTAGAATTTTAAAGCTTCTGGGGTTTCATGCTTGCTAGTTTTGATATCAAATATGAACTTTGTCTGTCTGGGGTGGCTTCATTAAGACACACACACACACACACACACTCGAACAGTTATGCATTGAGTACTTCGCATGCATGCTAGGATGCATATGTTGCTTGGCATATTGACAAAGGCAAAATTCCCTCATGGTTATATTACCCCATGGTTCACTGCAGCCACTTTTTTCCCTGCCCTCACCAGTTCATGACAAGTTGCCAAGCATGAGAAAAGGCAAGCAAGCAGTTTCCTAAGACAAAATCAAGATAACTTTCATATGTCTCTGATGCGGTAGAAAATAAGGCAGGTGTCTATGCTGTCCTCATCCGGGTGTCCACCTCTTTCCCATGCTTTGTGTATGGGGCAGGGGAGAGGGGGAGATACCGATACCTGGAGATCAAAGGCTTCAGCTGTGTCATGGACCAGCCATGTCCTGGTCTGTGAGTGAATGGCAGAACATGCAAAATTGTGTGCTGCCGCTCCTTTTTTGCCCTTCTCTTCCTGTTGTCTTTTCTATTGCCACCAAGTAGAAAAATTAACTTCCTTTTTCTCACTGTCTTCTTGCCAGTGTTTTACTCCCCTCCTGCTTTTATCTCAAGAAAGGTAGGCAGGAGGGTAGTTCCTTGTTCACTTCTATAAACTAGATTCCTACTACCCAGTTTAAGAACATTGTCTTTTTTTCTTCATCTGGCCTTCATTGGACTTTATACTTTTGGCTTTCAGAGTAAACTTCTTGACCTCTAACTTTTGATTTTTAAACTATTTTTTTTCTCTGAAACAGAGAAGCACCAGGAACACACACACACACGTCTGTCCTTTTAAGCTCATGCACATGTGAGTTTGTGCTTTGCACACACATGGACACAGAGTTAAACCCATCATTTCTTACAACAAAGCTAAATACAAAAATAGAGGACAGTAGTTTCTTCACAGGCTGCTTGCAAGTTTGAGCAGCTGTATTAATTAGCTTGTTCCAAAAAGTATTCCCACGGCAACAGAAAACTTGTGAGTCCTGTTTTCGTCTTCTAGGCCTGGACAAGGCATACACTGAGACTCCACCTGCTTACTCAGCAGTAAGTGCTTTGATTTAAAAAGAACATGCTTCCAAGTAGAGGGGTTTAGGATTGCAGACACGAACCTATTACAGAAACTCTCTTCCAATCACTTTATTACCCAGCACTCAGTATTAGCAACTTGAAAAATCCAGTTCTTCGCAGCACCAAATCCTTAACTGCACATCTCAGTGGTTGTAAAGTTGTAACAAGAAGACCTACATACATGCAGTAGTGATGTTGTTTAAATAGGCTGAAAACAGCTAAATAGGTGTGTTCTTTACTATGGCTCAATATGGGTCTTTATCTCTCCAAGGGTCTGATTTTTCCAATGTGTTTGAGTTATTTATGGCTTTCCTTTGACTATTAGAAGATTTATCTCTCCCCAACTGGTTATCATATCATTGCTCTGCAGGGATGCATGCGAACAGTTTAGAAATTAAAGTATAAACCACGAGGTGGGACAAATAAAAGTCAAACATTCCTGAGGAATACAGCTTGCCTCTGTATTTACACTGATGCTTCAGTTGAATGGATTTCATTACTTATTCCAAGTTTTTCTACAGAGTCAACTTTACTGACCTTGGATTTAATTATTTTCCTTCTCAGGAACTGCACCACACAATTCTCCATAACAGTCAACCCAAGAGCCTTTCAGAAATGTAAAAGGACAGCTCCACTCATTAAGCCAGATTCTCAGATGGCACTTGAAATCAACCAAAAACCCAGATTACATTTATCAAGAGAAGCACTGAAGGCAGTAAAACACTTTGTTACTTGTATGAAGTAGATATATGAGTAGCAATGCAAGAATTAGGCTGCAATACTATACCTCCTTTCCTCAGAGCAAGCCCGACTGAACTCAATTGGACTTACTTCTGAGTAGATGTGTATAGAATAGCACTATTAAACAGTCCAAACCTAGATATGTCCACCCAGAAGCCCTCCTGAGTTCCATGTGACTTACCGCAAGGTACAGAGGCGCAGGATCGCATCCTCAGTCACCTAAGCTGCAATTCCATGCATGCTTAGACATAAAATGTCCCCTGGAAGTCAGGGCTTCATAATTTGGAAAGTTACACTATTTATTATAGACTTTTTCTTGTTCCTGGGTCTATCATGAAAGGTTCTGATTATAGGTTTATTCTTTAAAAGCAGAGTACACCTGATTCTACCTTTGTTGTTGTTCTTAATAATATTTGGCCAGGGCGGCTTATTTTATTCTAATGTATATATTTTAATGGTTATTGTTTTAATTTATTGTGTATTTTATTCTATGTTGTGAGCCGCCCCAAGGCTTCGGCAAGGGGCGGCATAGAAATGTTTTAATAAATAAATAAAATAAAATAAAAAGTGGTATGGCCATTTTTACAATGTGAGGATTCTACCACCTCATTCACTACCCTGTGTCTGTAAAGCATAAAGCAAATCCTTCTCTTCAGCCAGCAGAGAATCACAGTTAATGCCGAGAGAAAGCAGGTTTAATTTAAAATTGTTTTCAATAATTTTAGAGTACGCTCCAAGAGATGTTGGCAAGCTCAGTGAGACCCACTCTGCACAGTTTAGGGAGTGAATTTTGGCCTACTTCATGTCTAAAAGTTAGGCAGCTGTTTGAAGAAAAACACCTGTCTTTATTCCAAGTAGTGGGATGCCTAAATTGTTTCACAAATGTCCTTTTCTATTGTTGCCTACCATATAAAACATAATTTAGACTGAATAATAATTTTGCAAATCTGACTGTTTTCCCTTGAAAAAAAATTGAAAAAGCTCTGCATTTTCAGCGAATGTCCTCAGCCTTTTTGGAAAAGGGAATACAGCAACACCCCATTTCCCCAAAGATTTTGGATCTGTAGACCTAGGAAGGCTTAAGATTTTTGCCATGAGCAACCAAGTTGTCCTTACTACGAGAATCCCGGACACACATTTCTTGCTGGCATTCTTAAGTCTTTTTCAAATAGATCTCTCCCCCACCGTAGCCCCTATATGCACACACCACCAACCAATTAGCAAAACTTGCCTTGATATACCCCAAGAATCAGAAGATATCGACAAAGAAATTTTATATTCTATCCTGTAATGCATGGTACAATTATGTGCGCCCGCATATATGAAATATTTTATTGTTTTACTGTTAATACACGGCAACCGTCTACAGTCTTAAGCAAGAAACTTGGCCAAAGGCTCAATTTAAAACTTTTAAAGCTCCTCTAAGAGCAAAACCCACCCAAAGTAACATACAAACTTAAAAAGTATAAAATACAATAACATTAAACACATAGTTATTTAAGTTCAAAACCACACCCAGAATATGACAATGCAATCAGAAATAAGAGCAGCCGCTTTGGGGGCGTGGCCTCAGAAGTGTCCCGCCTCTTAAAGACACAGCAGCAGCTTGGCCCACGAAGAGTGGGGGCAGCACCCTGCCTCCATTTTACATTTCTTCGCGCGGATCAATTTAGCTTCAAAGGCAATTAGAGATATTTCAAGCAAATCTAACACCAGCGGCTCCCTCCGGGAGAGGCCATGAGCTGTTAAATCCTCCCTCAGTTCTGTGCCACTCTAGAACTCTGTGGTCCCCCAGCGTCGGAGCTGCACCCCGCCCGCTTATCACCGGAACCGGAAACGTCGTTACGGTGTCTAGGCGCCTGCGTGGAGCGGCACCTCCGTCTAACAGGAAGGCTTTGCGGCAGGGCCCATTTCCGGCTGCGTCACTTCCGTGGCCGGCGCAGTTCTTCCCCCGTCGGTGGCCAGGCCGTTCGCGTGGCTCTGCTTGAGCGGTGGCCCTCGTAGGCAGCTCGCCCGCCTCTTCGTCCTCTCCCGGCCCGCCTCGCGTCCTCCGTGTCACCCACGCGCCCCGCAGATCCAACGGGCTTCTGCCTGCCGCCCGTCGCCCTCCGCCATGGCGATGAGACAGACGCCGCTGACGTGCTCCGGCCACACGCGGCCCGTGGTGGATTTGGCCTTCAGCGGCATCACTCCCTACGGCTACTTTCTCATCAGCGCCTGCAAGGGTGAGACTGGGGGCGCCGCGGCGAGGCTGGGTGTGCGAGGGGGGATCGTTCCTTCCGGTCGGAGTGGTTTGCGTCCTATGCGAGGAAGCAAAGGAGAGCTGTAGGAATGTTTGCAAATAAGTACATAAATATAAATGCTTTTGGATTTGTGTCTCCCTGCTGCTTAAATGGCATGCCATTTTCTGGGTACTCTTCGGCTGAGTATCCCTAGCCAGTCAGGCATTTTCCCCTGTTGCCTTGTATACCCGCAGTTGCCTCTAGAATAACTGTGTTTGTCCTGAGCATCCTTCTTGTTTCTTTCAAATCCTTCAGCTCATGTTTTTCACTTGAAGCATTTAGAACAGCCTTTTGATCCCAATACTGTTTCTGTAATAAACCCAAAATATGTGTAGTTGAAATAACAGTTTATTGTCTCCACCTTTGTTTTCCTGTAACTATTTCCAGTTCTCTAAAGTAAGGAACTGTTGAACCTGTAGGTTTGCTTTTGTTTTTGTTAACTACCAGGTAAATAGAGAGTAGTATTGAACTCATGATCTGTAATTTCAAACAGTATTTATTGGAAAGGTATTATGCTTAAATTTGGTTATGTGCAGAGGTGTTTCTGTTTTAATTTATATGTGCAGTTGAATTAAAATAGTTTTTATTAAGCTGTGATGGATTTAATGCAAACATTCTTCAAAAAATTGTACCAACGTACTGTATAGGCTAAAAAAGATACATAAATTGACTTTTGATAGAGGTGTAGAAATCAAGGTTCTGTTATATGTCTATATTTTGGAAGAATTTTAAAACCTGATTTTGATCTTTAGTTTTATTGAGCCTATCACAGACTTGGTAAGGGTCCATTTTGAGAAATTTTCAATTTAGAGATCATTATGGATCTGTTAACAGCTGAACTTCCATTTTGGAAGAAGAACATCACCATTCACTGATTTTGAAAACTTTTGGAGGTTGCTGTTATGATGAAACTGACTTAAGATATAAGTCACCAAGATAATCAAATGTCTGAACCTACCTCACAGGGTTGTTGTGGTGGGGATAAGATTGAGAACAGCAGGAGGAGAATGATGCAAGTGGCTATGAGTTCTTTTAAAAAATGAAAAGGGAAGATAGAAATCAAATAATAAAAGAACAAATTAAGTACATTTGCCATTTTCTGAAATAATGCCTTTTAATGGAATTCAGATGTCAAGATACCTTAAAATAATAACCAAGCTTTAAATTCAATCTAAATGTAGTACAAATTGAAGGCTTACACCATTATTTTATATATTTTACTTACTGGTAATTTGTTACCTTTCTGAGATCTAGAATTAGATCTAGAGATTTTTTATATTGAACTGGATATAAATGTCTTAAATTACAACTATAGTAAAAGATGTTAGGTCTTGACATGGTTTTAAGGATACACCCATTGAATCAGTGCGATGTAAATTAGTCATGGCTTAAAATGGAGAAGAGTAGAATTATGTAAACTACCTTGGGTTTCTGGCAAAGAAAAAGGGGTAGGGTATAAATGTAATAAGGTATGACTAAACTTGGAACAAACATACTGTGTCAAATTATGAAGATGTTTCTGTCAACTTGCCCAAAATGGATATTTTGCTCACCTTCCCTGGCAATGCTAGTGGGTTGGTTGTTGCGTAACAGCTTGTGAGGCTCATGTGAACCTGCCCCCTTCCTTGTCCCTCCCATGGGTATCCCAGAGGACTGACTTGTTTTTCCTTGCTATCCAAAAGAGAGATTGTGCAAGCCTGTCTGATACTGGATTTTGTGATTTCTACGGGAAAGAAGGAGTTAAAGAGGAAAAAGGCCACAAGAAGCCCAAGACAGTAGTATTTGTATTGGGCAGTAATATTTAGTAAGCAGAACTAAAAATTCTCAGACTTTTGCAGTAAATTTGTTTATAGAGTTTTAGAAGAACTTAAGCCTATAGTAAAGAAGGCAAGTGATATTCTGCCTGAGGGACTGTTAGCCCAATGCATCATCCTGGGATAAATACTCTGAATTTAGTTCGGCCTCTGATCGGCATGCATCCAAAAAATAACTGTTTATAAAATAACCAGAGTGGAATTTATAGATTGTTACAGAGGACTAATGAAAATGACTCAAGGAGACTTGCAATAGACTTTGCTGAAATATCTTGGCATTCTTTGGAACACTAGGAATTTCCATCTCAACTGAGGGTATCTATCTGACTAAATAAAGTACATGAATTTGTTTGTGGACACTTAGCATGGACATCTGATTGAGGTTATTTAATAAAATACACCCATGTCTGCGTGTCTTTCTTGCTAGATGGCAAACCTATGCTTCGCCAGGGTGACACAGGAGATTGGATTGGAACGTTTCTTGGTCACAAGGGAGCTGTGTGGGGTGCCACTTTGAATAGAGACGCCACTAAAGCAGCTACAGCAGCTGCAGATTTCACTGCGTAAGTGCAAGTTTTCTTTCTAACACTAACACTTTCACATGCTTCTGCTTCTTTTTGGAGCTGCTTTAATACATGTTCATATAGTTTTTTCTGGGGTCTTAAATCATTAAGTGTTCAATGACTATTGAAAAAAATGTTTTCTAGCCTGGAACTTTATTAAGTTAGTATGCCAATCACAGTTATGTTCTCTGTTTCAGCAAAGTATGGGATGGTGTTTCAGGGGATGAACTAATCACCTTGGCACACAAGCATATTGTCAAATCTGTGGATTTTACTCAGGTAAGGGGAAACACCTTTTGTTTTCAGTGTTGAGAGTTTGTCAGTGTACAATACCAGTAATTTCATATTCATGGTCAATAACTTATGTTTTGAAAAGTATCATTTCAAAATGTGATATGGTTAAGTTTCGGTTGACTATTATAGTCTTACTGAGGTCATATGGATAAAAATGGTACTATTCATTTTTCTCTTCTAGGACAGCAATTACCTGTTGACAGGTGGACAAGATAAACTGTTGCGTATCTATGACTTAAGCAAGCCTGAAGCAGGTGGGTTTTACTGCTCCTAACGTTTATTATTAAGAGTTATGAAGTCTTCTACATATAATCTACACTAATCTTAGCTTTACACCCCAGATCCCATGCCTTTTTGTAACTAAACTTATTCCCTCCTCACATGTGCTTTCATTTTCTTATCCTTTTTGTGTCTCATTTATTGAACTTTAGATTGTCTGTTCTTTTGAATATATTCTGCTAATCATCGTGTATGTTGGTGCTATATAATATAAGAATAATGGAATCCTAAATGTTGGCAGTGATAAAATCACTGGTGCCTATCGTGGTTATGCTGGGCATAATAATAAAATATGGTTTTACGTTACAAGAAGGAGTCTTAGATACAGGAGCTTCTGTCCTTTCCTCCACTGTGGCCAGAAGTGGGGGACTGCAAACATCTGTTTTTGTTTTCAACTAACTGATCCTTGTTGTATCCATCAAATTGTGGTTAGTCTTACCTAAGGCTCCAGGAAACAAACCAATTTCAAACCAAGGTTTCTGATCCTAACAATAAGCCATAGTTAAAATTGAGAAGAAACCACACTTACTAGAAAGTGAAAGCTAAAGTTTCCAGTCTTCTTGTGGCTGTGCCAGAGGAGGAGAGCAGTATCACACAATTTTAATGTTAGGACCAGGCTCAGTGGATGCTAATGCCATGATAAACCATGGTTTGTCAAAATAGGAGTGAACAGGTGTGACAGTAGGCTTACCTTTGAGGCCACACTATGATCAGAAGCTTTCACTTCTGCTTTTGCTGACCATAGTGTTAGTTATATCCAAACCTTTAAATGATGGTTAGTCTTAACTATATTATTCTTGAAGTACATTTTTAAATAATAGTTTATAGCATGGATCTGGCCCGCAGGTTTTGCACTTGCTGGGCGCACGTGTGGCTTGCTCGCGAGGAGGTCGTTTTGGACTCACGAGGAGAAAACGATCTCGCAAGCAAGCTGGCACCCCACCCTGCATGTGCGTGCCCCCCGCCCCCACACTGGCCCGCACCCTCCTGCCAACACTGTCTTGGCGGCCCACAGCCACCATTGGCACCTGTCAACTGGCCTCCTGTTCAAAAAGTTTGAGGACCCCTGGTTTATAAAGTTAGCTTGTTTCAAATGAACAACGGCTTCTGTTCTCTGCCATGTGAAAAGGGAGCATGTAAGCAGAAGGCTTGCTATGGATTATTCCCATGAAGAAGAGTTTAGAATTACATTGGAACCAGTGAACTCTGTTATTAATAAATTGTTAATAATATCGCTTATGGGGAGACTTGGGAAATGGTGATTAGAAATAATCTGATTTTTAAAAACTAAGAATATGTACAAAAGGCTGTACAACTCTTCTTGCAGCCTTTTGTGATTATACTTCACAGTTACACAGCAGGGAAATAAAATTGTGAAAGCCCTGTTGGAATCATACCATATTAAATGCTCAGGGATGCCGTAAGCCACTCTCATATATATGGTTTGTATTGCCTTTATGTGATATTCTGAATAATTCTACTTAACTCATCGTAAGGTATGTTAAGAGTGGCTATGATGAAGTATAAGGCTAGAAATTAATTTTTAAATATCAATAATATTTCCTTTGCTTTTTAGAGCCTCAGATTGTTAGTGGCCACACATCTGGTATTAAAAAAGCTCTGTGGAGCAGTGATGATACACAGATACTTTCAGCAGATGATAAAACTGTCAGGTGAGAAGTAACAAATATTTTGTTTTCACCACTGATGTATTAAGCTCGTATATTGCTGTATCTAGTTCTTGACTATGGGATCTGTCTTTCAAATTAAACTTCTATTACTTCAAAGTTAATTTTTCTATTTTATCATGTGAATTTTTCAGCAAAATCTTGTGCATCAGGTATCAGCTGGATCTGAGAGCTAAACAGTGGCTTAGAGAAGGTGGCAGGAAGTTCATTACTTCAAATTAAGGAAAAGGTTTCTAGGCACATGCTGAGCCTAGGAATTTACTTTCTGTACTGGGATTCAGCTCTGTTTCTCAATATCATTTCCTGTTTTTCCATCACATTTCATTATATCAACCCCATTTAGGAAACATGCCCATTTGCTTCAGCTGCTTAAAAATCAGGAGTCAAACTTTGTTGATCTACTATGAAATACTTGTAGATTCCAAACTACTTTCCATCCCTTTTGTTTTACTTACATATTCCAAAATTGGTCCCACTGTGTACAGAGGGGCTTATTTCAAGATTGTCTCAGTAGCCTCACATCCTTAGAGTGGCATACTGTTTCTTGCAGTTGATCAATTCCAGCTGACTGTTAGATCAGAACGGTCAATAAAGTTAGCAAATATACTTTTGCTGTAATCCTGCAAGGTCATCAATTCAGTTACTTTGCCTACTAAGTGGTTGGTATTGAAATTTTCTTTATGAAAAAATACTTTTTAAAAAAAGCAACCATTTCCTCTTGTTGTTGTTGTCATTTGCCTAAGAAAAACAAGAGGTTCACTATAAATTAAAAGCAAAATACATACTGGTGTATTGTGTGACTTGACCTGAGGGACACTTGGGTCCTGCACAGATAGACGAGACTTCAAGGACAGCCATGTTCATCACAGGTTTTAAACACATGAGGGATTGGCTGATAGCTTGAGGAACTTTTCTTGTGTTGAGATGGTCAAATAGTTATGTATGACCCTCGTGATCATAGTGGAATTCACAGCCTTGGTCCTGATTTAGCTAGGAGCTACTCTTTCTCTTCCATTAGTAAGTTTGGTAAATAATGGAAGGGAAAGAGTAGCTCCTAGCTAAAGTGGTATATTATTGCAGTTCTTCCTTAGGCTTAAAACTTAATTCCATCCCTATGCTTCTCTCCAAATATCCATGGGGAAGGTGGGTGAGGAGAGTTTTCATCTTGGAAAGGGCTTAGTGTTCAGCCACTGGTGAAAGGTGCCTAACACTCAGAAAATACAGCATAAGCATACATAAAAAGTGGCGCTTATGTGCCTCGATTTTCAGAGCTTCTTATGTGCAGCCATGTTCTTGAGCAGTGGTATAGCTATTTTGGGAGGTGATGGTGTGGAGGAGCATTTGTCCCAGTGGAGCTTGTGGGGTTGACCTGCATTGCTTTTGGGATGAGCTAAACATACTTGTTCATGCCTCTCTTGTCGCAGACTCTGGGACAGAACTACAATGACAGAAGTCACTGCGATAAACGTTGCCATGTCTGTAAGCAGCATGGAGTATGTTCCAGAAGGCGAGATAATAGTGATCACCTACGGGAGGACCATTGCTTTTCATAGAGCAGAAACGTATGTATTTTTAAGGTGTGCTTTTCATGTCAAAATCGGCAGTCCATCCAGACTCTGCTTTGGTAAATAAAGAAAAAAAGTGAAGATCACGATGATTTAAAATACAGTTGAAACTATAATGGCAGTAATGTGCCCTGGGCATTACTTCTACTACCTTCTGTTACCCAGTTTACCGTGTAAAGTGAACTATTTGCCCACCATCTGGCTTTTTTACTGACATACTCTGCTGCTAGATAAGATTTGTAGACCTGATTCTCTGGAACCTGAAAAGTCCTGTAGGTCTGTGCACTTGATTTTGTAATTTATGTAACTTGTATGAACATTTTATTTTTCTCAATGAAGCAGCAGCATCTGAATGGCTTACAATACTCAGTCAGAACTTGCAAAGCTGCTTAAACAAAATATCACAAATATATTTCAAAGTAAGCAGACAGCAGACGTGAGACATTGGCACTAAGTTCAATAAAGTGAAGGCCACAGTGAATAACCGCTTTATAATGCATCCCTGTACATATCTGTTCAGAAGCAAGTCCCATTAGTTTAAATGGGGCTTACTCCCAGTGGTGTGGGGATAGGGTTACAGCCTTAGCCTGACACCAGAAGTGAGCCGAACTAGGTGTCATGCCATAACTAGAATGCCAGCACTCAAATACTTCGCTTACTGGTTGCCACCTGCCTAACTCTGGTGGTTTGGGCAACTGAAAGAAAGCTATTTGATAGCCTAAAGTACAAGATACAAACTTAAGCTCATGTTTCTTATGTATTTCACATTTGATATGACATTGCACGCATGTTCACTTGACAAACATTTAAAATCATGTTTTTTTGTTAGTAGAAACCAGAGATTTGACTAGTGTGGGAGGTGAATAGTAATTCCACCCTTGTCAGGTTTCTTTCTCTGTATTAGTGTGTTGAAGGCTGTGTCTACAGTTCAGTTTTTGCTAAATGCAATTTTCTTCTTTTCTTTAGGCTGGAACAGATTAAGGCATTTGAGGCTCCTGCAACAATCAATTCTGCATCCCTTCACCCAGAGAAAGAGTGTCTAGTTGCAGGTGGTGAAGATTTTAAACTATATAAGTACGATTATAATACTGGCGAAGAACTAGGTAAGTTAACTTTCAGTGCATCGGAAATCATATGCAGATCACTTTCATGTCTGTTAAAATATACAGCCAGTTTAACTGCTAATGTCAGAGGCTTTAAGCCTTTAACGTTTCCTTTGGTATGGTATAATGAAGAGGAAGTAATTTCCTAACCTTAATTATGTATCCAAATTAATTTTGGGGGCAGGGCACAAATGGGCCCACCCCCGACATTCACATGGTTAGATTCTATTCATATAACCATTGTACCTTGCTGGAACAACAGGCATTTATGTGGCTGATTAACTTTATACCCAATTGCACTTGCTATCTAGATAGCCAAAGTTCCATCTGTCACAGTCTTCCTATGACTGAAATCCCAGAAGGCACAATCCGATGGGCAAAGAACTCTTGGATAATTCACTTGGAAGGATCTCTTTCTTCTTCACAGCCAACCTGTAATCCACATTTTTTCTTCAGTCTGGTTGTTGGAAGAAAAGGGATTCAAAAGGAAGATGAAAAACCTGTTTAAATGGGGAAGGAAGGGAATTGAAAATGGCCTGTGTGGAATATTTATGCATCAACAGATGGTAGAAGAGTTCTGGCCAAGACTGTAGGAGGGATATAGTTGACAGCAAGGGAAAGGAAGATGAGAGCTTAGCGGGGGGAAACAGTGTTTGAAGGTTGCAAGTAAAGGTGATCCTCAGGTCTGGAAAAAGTTGAACAACAACTTAATTCAACTGAGTTTAACTAGTAGGTTTGCTGGTAGCCATTCAGAACAAACAAACTAGTGTTGGCTATAAGACCATTCACTAGGTTTGGAAAATGAGAGGCAAATTATGTATTTATATCTTTATTTATTCAACTATATTCTGCTATAAGTAATCTGAAGACTTTGTAAGCAGATTACAACAGTTTTACATAAAATAACATCACATTTTAAAACACATAAAATTACAACTTGTCATTATAGCATAGTTACAAAAGTGTTTAGAAATACCAGTTTTATGGCTGAGGATGTGTAATAGTCAGGGAACTCTTGAATTTTTAATGTTAAGTCTTGAGACTCTTCAAGCCCTCCTGTATATGTCTGCTGAATAAGGAATGTAGTAAGATAAATGAGTGCTTGGATCAAATCTTGAGTTCCTGGTTCCAGTGTCCTCCAGTGGTTGCTTTTGTCTCTTTCCAAGAGGTTCTCTGACTTAGCAGCACAGGTGTGAGTGATGGTTAGGTGCATGTAGAGGAGTTTCACACAAAGAATAAAGTGTGGAGACTATCCGGCTGCTTCAGTATCTCAAAACTGCATGTACTTTCTGGTGGCAAACCATAGCCCAAGGAGTAGAGAATTAGGCTAGTACTACCTGTTCATTAATGGATAGGACCTCACTGCTTGGGTTATGTGACTTAGGCTAGTAACCTTCATCTCCAGGTCTCCCCGGTACAGGCAAGCAAACAGTTGTTTTCCTTCTAAATTCCCAAGTCTAGATGTTAATGTATGTGCATCCATTCCTTGCCTGAAATTTTGATTGATACATATTATAATTTCCTGCAGAATCTTACAAGGGGCACTTTGGACCCATTCACTGTGTCAGATTTAGCCCAGATGGAGAGTTGTATGCTAGTGGCTCTGAGGATGGAACGCTAAGACTGTGGCAGACGACAGTAGGGAAAACATATGGTCTCTGGAAATGTGTGATTCCTGGTAAGAAACGAGTGTTGTTTTTTTTTCCTGGTAGAGCTGAAGTGCATCGTAGCTTATTTTAAGATAAGTTAATTATTACAGCATGGCATTAAACATTATCTCTTGCTAACTTAGTGGCAGCCGAGTGGGTTGCATACCAATAGAACTTTGCTGAACTGTATTGACAAAGGCATAATTGTCACTGAGGGGTAAGATCTCTGTCTGATCTGTACCTCTTCAGACAGCAGGTGGGCACTCGCATGGATCAACGCCCCTCCCTACTTTTATTTATATAGATATCTTCTTTCCACAGAAAACAGCCTTGTTGGGGAAAAGCTGGGTAGTACCTTTCCCTACTTTTCTGTGTAGATGGAATGGAGCAATATTGTGATGTCAGCCCGCCCAGCTGCCTTGCAGATTAGTTTATGAAGCCCTAAACAACCAAGTATTGACGAGGCCCTTACCTGGCTGCCTGAGGTCATCCGATAAAGCTTTCCTTGTGGTTTGGAGTCTGCTCGGAGGAGAGCCTTTGGGGCATTGACTTACACCTACAGGCAGGGCAATTCCGTAGAGAGGGGGCAAGCTCTAGTATATGTTCTGTTTTGAACTTCCGCTGAAGCCTCCCCTGATGAACCAGTCATGACTTTATTGACACAATCAGATTTTAAAGGGTTTAATTCTGATTATTAATAACATCATGTTTCTTTTATCGCTCATTGTTTGTATAGCTTACTGGATTTAGAGGAGTGTACTAATATTGTAAATAAGCATAACTGTGTAAGTAAAGGAAGAAACAGCCCAGTATCTGGTTTATTGTGTCAGGTATATGCCTAATTTAGTTTGGACATTGAATACCCCCCCTTGTTGGCCTTACACAACGAAAGGGTGGTATACTGCCATCAGTGAGTTTGCTTGACGTTGCCTCATAGTAAAACATAACCAGCGTAACTGAAGATGGATTTTAATCAATTGGTGAAAGTCACAAAAAGCAATAGAAAGCACACAGCAAATGGCAAACCTGTTCTCAAGATCTGTAGTAGACAAAATTTGCTATGCTGGAGATGAAAAGAGATCTCCCTTTCTTTTTTCCTACAGAAGAAGAAGGTGAACTGACGAAACCAAAGGTCAACTTGCCAGGGACTGCAGAGGAAGAACTAGGTAATGAGCTGATCTCATTGGGTCTGGTCAGAGTAAATTAGATACAACATTTAGTTGCATATTTATAGAGGGCAGTAATTCAGAATGGGGAAAGGCATAGGGTCCAGTATGAATCTCCACATAATGCTACTGCAAGAGTTGTTGCTTGCATGGAAGTAGTAATAATCATGTTGTTGCTTTTTAACCAATTGCAAAAATTTGTTGAAGTCAAGAAGTGCAGGAAAGACCTTCAGGGGGAGCGGGTGGGACACATACAACTAGTTAGTGGCTTTTGTAGTAAGGGCCAACAGAGCCTTCCAGTGGCTAGCCAAGTCAGGGCAAGGAAGTATCTCTCCAGCAGGGGGTGGGGGTGGGCATTCACAGCTGTTATGGCTAAAACAGGCTTACACTAACAGCCAAAAGAGCACATTCAGGATCAGGCTGTGCTTAAAATGAGTACAGAACTTGTATAAGTACAGGAAAACAAAGTGTTTGAAACAGCATTGTGGTTGAATACTAGAATAATGTTGACAAATATATCTTTGCTAAATATTATTCTTCTGCTAAAAATTATTATTTGGGCATCCCCCCCTTCTTTTCAACTTGGCAGAAGACCTTGGCTCTGAGAACTCGGATTCCATCTACAGCACAACTCCTGAAGTTAAGGCTTGAGTTTCGCAGCTGTTAATGACAACGCATGGACTTTTTGAGACTAAAGAAAGCAGCGGTATGCAGCAGCCTCCTGGGTTGCACACTGTGCCCAAGGCAAAGATGAGCAGTCATGGATAAGAATGTGTTGGAACTGTTTGTCAAGAGATTTGAGAGTATTGAATGGGGCAAGCAGTAATGGTTTTTTGCGGTCTCCTAGCACCACTGCCTGTTGTATGTCTGACTGTAACATGGCAGCTGAGACCGTTTCTCCAACTCCAGTTAACTAATTGTAGTGTTTATTACTGAGAAAGGTAATGGCTTCTAGTAGAGTGTATTCTCTGAAAAAGTTGGCAAAAGATGGGGTTATGTGATGAAACAACCAATTAGTTTTTTCTTTTTTTTCTGTTGTGCATCGCTTCTGAATGTCTGTTTCAACCATCTAAATAAAACACCTCTTCAACAACACTCCTAGGGAAGCTCCTATAATGTACAAGCTAACAAATCTGTTTCCGAACAATGTTGTGCATCTTGGAAGTTTTAATAGGGAAAGGAAGCTAAGACTTGGTGACGGTTTTTGCACGAAAGGTGGCTGATTGCCCTGCTGCTTGCAGCTTGTATTCCACCCCTTGTAAACTTTTGTATTCAAAAGCCCCTCTAAAATAACATGTGCAGGATGCATGTATTATAACTGCCATGATTATACATAATGCCTCTGGTGGAAATTGTTCCTATAATTTCTGAATTTGAAATATGTAAAAATGTAGATACTGGCACTGTATTCTCTCTTAATTTCTAAGTGGTATCAGCTCAGCCTTTCTACACAACAAAAATTAGTTTTCTTTCCTGTTTAAAAATTGTTATTTTGTGTGTGCCTCAGATTACTTGTATGGAATAAAGTTTTGGTTTAAGGGGTCATCTGTATTAACTGGAGAATAAATACAAGAAAAGCCACTGTTGTTTATAGTAACACTGTTGACCTAATGTGTTCAGAAGCTTTTGTGTGCCCAGTGTGGTACTACTCAAGAATATCGGGCTGATCTTCTAAGATGGGGTAGGCAAATGGGAAGCACTGCAAAATGGCTGATGTGGGAGGCATAGCAAAGGCCCAATAAATTTAAGTGCAAGGCAATTGCATCTAAGCCCAAACAGCTCCTTTTTGTGCCAATAGAAACCAATTTCACAAGAATCCAGTTTACTGGCAAGAAAATAAGGTGGTGTCTTTCTTTTGTGGTATAGGACACCTTGTCAGGTGCCAAGAATGGTACATGGAGGCATAGTGGAGTTCATGGGTGCCATGTTGCTAGCATCTGTTCTGGGATATAGTTCCTATGATGACGTAAGCTTAAGTATCTAAAGGAACAATGGGTAGAAGATGGAAACCAAATGTGTTATTATCCAGTACAATTCTTTGCGGTAGAATTGAACTTGAAATGTAATTGAGGCAAGAATACTTGTGCTCTGATTTAAAAGGTGCAGCCAATCTTTAGAGATGGCTTAGTGAAGAAAGGGCATGAACAAGATGAAAATGCAACTTGAGAACGTAGAGCTGTGGGACCTTGGGTTTATGAGCCTGCTCAAGGGCTTGTTGCGCAAGCAGGTAACTCACAGGCAATCCTTGTTGGTCTGTGCCACTTTGACAAGATGTTTGAAAAGTAACAATGGAAAATGATAGTGTCGGGGAGGGGGAAATTATCCCTTCACCTCCTCATGCTGTATTTCTGTAGATACTCTCTTTTTGCATGAGAAGTAGTGAAGTGCACTCCACCTCAAGTTAAGATGAAACCGCCAAGGCTACATCTTGTGATTCAGCTGATTGTGTAGCTTATGCTTACAGTGCCTGCTTAGTTACAGATACAATAATGTTTCCATCTGTTATGTGGCACAGTCCTTTTACATTTTGTTTGGCTCATGCTGCCTTATTTCCTCCCACCAATAAGAGGGTATAAATACAGCCACCTGGTACACCATTAGTTGCATAGTGGGGGATTATTTAACATGTTTGTGTTGTAATAAGGAAAGAGCTTTTGATGAAATACTGTTCATTGGTTTATCTAAGGAAAAAGGCTATTAGAGTACATTTCAGAACACACACACATGTTCGTGGTCCTTCATCCAGCAATATTTCTGTTCTGAAATGTATGGCATTTATAATAGCAAAAGCTTCTAAAAACTGATTCATTTTCAACCACGCCATTCAAAAATGGCCTGCATGGTGCCTAAGCATGTAATGAGATGATACTGTAAGCGAAGTCAGTATGTGGCCAGTTGACTGTCTGGCTAACATCTCTAAACCCACAGTTTGCCATTTGTGCTGTTGTTGTTGCAGTGTTTGGATTAAAAATCTGAGAGGTTCAACAAGCCAAGTATATTATGCGGACTCACAGCTATGCATACAAATGGAGGGGGCCACCAGTACCTGGCCCCTGTGGATGCTGCTGTGCGTATATGTGAGAATGAGCAAGAGAAAATGAGTACATGATGCTCCTGGTTTTTTAAGAGACCACCGACACATCTGAAATGTCTATATTGCATTACCAGCCCTATAACAGGATCCATTCCTTATAGGCAATGGCTGTATGTTGACTTCATTATTATCCATGAAGAAGAGACTGTTGAGAAAGGGCTGAATTCGGAGAAACTGTTGAGTGCAGTATTTGTGGAAGGAGAAATGTATGTATTCTGAGCTTAGTGGTGCAACGAAGCTCAAAGTATTGTCCTGCTTAAAGCTCAGTCCAAGCAGCAGTTAATGGGACACATCTGGGATCTCTGCCATAACACAGAAAAGCAACAGGCTGTTCAAGGCCTCGGTCCCATTTATACCTAGCATGGGAATTCCATGAGGCTCACTTCTACATACAAAAGTATAGGCTCAGACTCACATGCAGCAATGTTAACACATTCATTAGGGAGAAAAGCAGTTGTGTGACAAGGTCTAATAAATACATTCCTGGCAAGAGTTTTTGTTGGGCAGAGTGTGCATTGCGTTCAGCAGGACTTGTCTTGGCGAAGTCTGTGGCAGCAGCCATTCAAGATTAAGCAAGTCAGTTCTCCCACCTGGTGCTCTTCAGTGCATTTTCTCAGGCAAGCTGGAGAAAGCTAATGCACATGGAGTAGGAGGGTTCTGAAAATAAAGACTAAATTTCTGTAGTCACCTTCAGTTAGCACAGTTCTGCTTAAAACAAACTGGATTTTTCTGTTCTTTTCCAGGAGGTTAAAAAGGAACTCTGGCTAACTGTTGCAAACCCTGTTATAAAAGAGGCAGCAGTTGGGTCTGCTGAAGTGCTGATTGCATTCAGCCTTGCTGCCCTGGGCTCCCCCAAAAACCCATACCTGATCCTCCACTTTTAGTTTGTTTTAAACCTTCACAGCTGTCTGAGGTAGGCTAGATTGAAAGGACTGGTTCCCCCAGTCCTCTTCTGAAACTCTACTATTACATCCTACTGACTTTTAAAGTTAGTAGGTGTTGTGATCTTAATACACTCCTGTGCACATTTGGGATTAATTCCAATTGAACTCCATAGGATTTCTAAGTAGACACAAATATGATTGTTCTTGGTACCTTCATTAGCCTTTAGAAAATACCACTCTTCAAATGCATCCTTCCAAGAAACCTTATTTATGGTGACTGAATATAGGAGAGAGTTTAAAATCTTTGTTCTGCCATGGCCTTGGACCAGATCACACTCTCAGCCTAGTCTGTCTTGCAGGGTTGTTGGGAGGCTAAATAGGAAAGCTAACTGCAGAATAAAATGAAGTGTCAGGCAGGCTTGTACATGACTGTGCATGGATAGAAATGACTGCTTAGATTTGTGATGAAAATGTTGCAGAATGTGCAAAAATACAGTGTCGCACCATAACAACCTAATATATTGAGGTAACTTCCAGGAACCTTAATGATGCTTGCTTTTGACTAGAGATTAACAGTGGAATTCTAGGGGGGTGTCTTCAGTGCCTCTGCACTGAACAAGGCTTAGTTCTAAGTAAGGACATAGAATTGTAGACCTGCAATACTACCTGAAGCATCTTCAGGCTGCATAATTTTCCTACATTGCAGAGGACAATCTATTCTAGAGAGTTGCCCAGAGCACAGAGCTTTATTTGAAGGTGTTTTCTACTTGCTAGGCAGTTCAAATTATGGTTTGATGCCAAATAACTGAAAACACTGTACAGTACTCCCATTTACTCCCTGGTAAATGGACCTAGGTTTGCAATCCTGGTGTTGGCCTTTGGCCAAACGGTTCGAGCGACCCTCCACCCCCACAACCCCGGCTCTTTGGGCAGCTGAAGACGGGGCGGGGGGGCGCAACAACATAAAATTGCCAATCGCAAAGCTGAGCAAAACACTTGCACTGGGAGGTTCGTGCAGGTGGCGAGATGGCAGGAAGGGGAAGCGGAGGAAAAATGGAAGAGGCGTAACCAGGAAGCGCTGAACGTACCTCGCCCTGGAAGAGATACGGGCTTGGCTTTTGCTGAGATCATGGCTTCTCGCAACCCGGGGACGGAGTTGGGTAAGACGAAGGCAGCCGAGGCGGGCTTTGTTGGGGCGACAGCCGTTTCGGCGCGGCGGCTCATCTGCATTTGTCTGCAGATTCATTCGGCGGGACGGTGACTTTATCCGCCCCGTGAGCCAGTAGATTGGCAGCCGGATCGTTGCCTTGAGCGGGGGGTGAGGAGGCGGGAGCCCCGAAACTCTGGGAGGCCCGTTGCCCTCTCCCCCCACCCCCCTGTGCGTGGGTGTAGAAACGGTCCAGGGGCCCAGAGAGTCCCCAACGCCTCTGATTCACGGCATGGGCTGGCCTGCTGCGACCCGCCCTGAGTCTTCTGCCGGGATCCCCCCCCCCCCGAAAACAAAAGCTCCACTCTGCATAGGGGTGTGCTTGGGAAACAGACACGCACACAGAGAGATTGGAGCTCATGGGAATTAAATGGCGCGGGTTTGGGCCTGTGGGTCTGAGCCCTAGATTTTTTTCAGCACCTGCCTTCAGTGCTGCAGCCCTGCCACACCATCCCGTTATACCTGACCGGCACGTGCATTTCGTTTCCATCGCTCCCTCCATTCCCAAGCTTCCCAGCGCACCAGAGGCAGCATTTCCATCACAACAGCCCTGTGAGGAGGCCTAGGCTGAGAGCAAGCAGAATGGCCCCAGGACCCTCAGTGAGGTTCTGGCTGAACTTGGGGACTGAACTTGGGCCTCCCAGGTTTGAGATTCGGCACACTCAACCCACCTGGGCTACGTGTTGTTCTGATGCAAGGAGCACCTGGAGAGTTAGCAGAATCAGAAGCCTCCTGTGTGCTGAAGCCTGCGGATATTTCTTTTGGTGCTTTTTAGGCTTCATAAGGAGGGGAACTCAGATAATGGCGTTGCTTTGAGAATATAGAATGAATTCAATCCTTGTGGCCCTGTTGATGACCTTTCTATCCCACCTTCCTTCACTTTCTCTAACTGGTTCTTCTGGAATCACACCTGATTATTTTATCTGTAATTAAATGTACATCGACATAGGGTTTGGGAGACCCTTCTAATATGTCGGTTTTGCTACTGCTGCCCTCCCCAAGAAAGAAGAAGTAAAAATGGCCTTGTGGGTTTGTTATTTGGAGAGTATTTTCTTATTTATTATTAAACTTATTTTCCACAACCAATAGTCCAAAAGAACTCTCTTGGCTGATTGAAAGTATTCACAGAATTGCTAGTGTAAGTTTCTTAGAAAATAACCCTGTTTAGACAAAAGTCCTACTGGCTGTGGCATGCTGGGACTTTTAGGGCATTTGTGTATCTAAAGAGGTGTTGGACTTCACCCATGCAGTTACAATACCATTGTGGGCAATACCATTCTGTCTACAATCCTAAGACAAAATCCCCCAAAGTATTGCCTACAGGACCAGATAACCACATATGGATGAGTGTTAGCTCATCACAGCCTGTTCAACATTTCAGCTCTTCCCATTAGCTGGATGTGTTGTATTCTGCCCTGCTGGCAGACAGAAGCTGCCTTTGGAAGCTATTATCTCATGCAGGCAGTTCTGGGATCTTGGAGGTGGAAGAGTCGGATTCAGTGACACAGCAAGGATGTTTGCCCCCTTTCTACAGAGCTATACAGGATTTTGTAAATTACATGTGAGGCAGACACCAGCATGGCCTGGAGTCTCCAATTTGGTACCCATGTTTGCCACTCCTGGTTCCCACTAGCCTCTTCTCCCCTTCTGATACTTTCCATTTCTCAACATTTTCAGATTTATTTGAATTGAGAAGCTGGTGCACTGCACATCAGAGATCTTCCCTCTAGCTCCTAGTAACATCTTTGGGTTCAAAAGATAGTTTTTGTGTTTTGGAGTGCAGACCCCTACCTCTGCCGTGTCCTTGGCCAACTTTTCTTTTAGCTTCATCAGTTTGCTTCTAAGAAATCTGCAGGCCATGCCCATTCATAAGATAATTGTTGTAAGCCGCCCCGAGGCTTCGGCGAATGGGGCGGCATAAAAATGTTTTAATAAATAAATAAATAAATAAAATAATTCCTAAGATGGACAAGTCCATCCCTGACACACAGCAAAACAAGAGCATAAGAGCCCTGCTGGATCAGAGCAAGGTCTGTCCAGTCCAGTATTCTATGCACACCATGGCCAGTCAGCTGCTCACAGAAAACTCACAACAAGACCCGAGTGTAACAGGACCATCCTGCCCAACTTCCCCAGCAACTGGTATCTGTAGTCATTCTGCCTCTGATAGTGGAGATTGCCTGTAACTATAAGGACCAGTAGCAACTGATAGCCTTCTCCATGAATTGACTCATTCTCCTTTTAAAGGCATCCAAATTATTGCCTGTCATGACCTCTGGCCCAAGGGAATTCCATAGTTCAGCTACACGCTGTGTGAAGAAGGACTTCCTTCTATCCGCCCTGAATCCAGCCAATTTTTAAGTGCTACCACAACATTCTCTTAAAATTCCAGGTATGCTCATTGAACCAAATGGTTGTAGAGCCCCGTCTTGGACTACCAAGATGCTACTAAACGGCTGAAAAGGTATCTGTGGACATATTACCAGGATAGATGTGAACTGTCCACATGCCCAGCAATTTGGACAAACATTTCCTGAGCTATTACTGAATAGATCATTATCATTTTACACCAATTAACTGAATTTACATGTACGCTGTAGCAACTGTGTTCAAAGTCCTGTTATTAGTATGCTTCTGTCTTTACCATACACCAAATAGGCTCTCATACCCAGTTCTATATACGGGGGTGGGGTGGGGGGAGAAGGGGGCAGTTGTCCCCCTCCAGCAGATGATTTACACATATACTAGCTGTAAAAAATATTAAATTGCCTGCTTGGGGGGGGGCACTGTCCCCTGCTTCCCCCCATCCCCAATCCTGGCCTCTTCATACCCTAAGGCACAATAGGCAAATTAGCCTGATATTTTTCCCCAAAAATGGCTCTTGTGAAACTTCTAAATACAATTTTCAACTGATCATCAGAGGAAGAAAAAAAATTATTCCAGGGGAGAAGAGTTAAGGAAAGTTGGCTAATTAGCTGTAGTTTAATCACTTTAATTACTTGTATCCCTGAAGTTCCATGAATATTTAGATGGCGCAGATGATATATTTAAAAAGTAGTATTCACACTCCAATTTAAATTAATCTACACGTTGTTTTCCTTCGGCAGACACTCCAGATGATTCATAGATGTGGAGTTTCTTTATCCAGATCTCTGACCTGGGTATGCCTAGAAAGGGCAACTCTGTATGAGCAACTCACAAGGGGTAGCCGTGTGAATGTTTGTGTGTGTGCTTTTTCCTACAAGGAAATAACATATGTAAGAAAACACCCTTGCCTTGAAAATAACTTTAAAAGGGAGGAATGAAGCTTGTTAATAGCTTCTTACTAACAGTAAGTAAAACATGACCAAGAGTTTACCTTTTTGTAAATGGATGAGTTCCATTTTCCTTTCCTTGTACCCAACCTCTTCTCCCCAAATGGCTTGCACTGTTTTATCTGGACAGGTGATTAAGAATATGTTTGCATACTTACATTAAATGAATATAAAAACATAAGAACCCTGCTGGATCAGACCAGAGGCTGATCTAATTAATTGGTTTTCCATATGGCCAACCACTTGCTCATAAGAAGCCCTTAAAGCAGGGTATGAATACAGCAGCACCCTCCTATGCAGGTTGTCAAGCAACTGGTTTTCAAAGGCATGGTGTCTGTCATACTGGAGGTAGCCATGGGGCTAGTCAGCATTGGTAGCCCTCTCTATGAATTAGTCTAATCTCCTTTCAAAGCCATCCAAACTGGTGGTCATTGCCCCATCTTATGGAGGGAATTCTGTAACTGTAAAGAATTACTTCCTATTATCTCTCCTGGATCTCTCCACCCATTGGCTTCATGGGATGACTCTGGATCTGGTGTGGTCCATGTATAAACTTGCGTTATTGCAACGTGCTTGAAGTGGGGCTGCCCTTTAGGTTGGTGCAGAATTCTGAACTCATCCTGGTAATATAAGCAGCATATTGCCAGGATAGAACACCGATGCTGAGGGAGCATAGTGTACTTACTATTTGTTACTGAGCCAGAATTTACACACCCCTAAACAAGTCAGGATCAGGATGCTTAAGGGAACACCTGATCCTTCGCTGAGTTGCTCCATCTATCTGGAGATACCCTCCTGGTGGCAGAAGCAAGATTCCAGAGGTTTAGTCCTTGGAATAGGGCCTTTAGTGGCACTGTGCCCACTTTCTGGAAGTCCCTACTTCTACAAATTAGGCACCACCATTTTGGCTTTTTGATGCCAGCAAAAAGCATGATTTTTCTAACAGATATTTCCAGGTAAGTAAATTTGTCATCTCCATGAAGACTTGTTTTGACGCATTGCTTAGAAATGTGTTTAATGTAAAAGATTCATAATATGAAATGAATCAATACGAGAGGGGAAGGAAAACTGTTCTCCAGCTAATTTCTCCCCATCGTGCATCATTCTGTACACTTCTTATCATTTCCCCCATTACTTCGTGTTAAAAAGTCCACTCTTTTCTGCATCTTTTCCAGCTCTGTTATATCCTTTTTGGAATGTGATAGCTACCTTTGCCATTATCCTCCCTTGTCAACCTCAGTTTATTTGTATGCGATTTTTTCACAGGAAACTGTGCCCACAGCAATTCAGGGCAGCATCTGAACTGGGGAATAACAAGACAATAACTCAGAACAAAAATCAATTCATTTTGTTGTTGTTGTTAGTTGTGAAGTTGTGTCCAACCCATCGCGACCCCATGGACAACATTCCTCCAGGCCCTCCTGTCCTCCACCATCTCCCGGAGTCCACCCAAGCTCACACCGACTGCTTCAGTGACTCCATCTAGCCACCTCATTCTCTGCCGTCCCCTTCTTCTCTTGCCATCAATTGTTCCCAGCATTAGACTCTTCTCCAGGGAGTTCTTCCTCCTCATTAGGTGGTCAAAGTATTTGAGTTTCATTTTCAGTCTGGATTTGCCACAGCTTTCCTCCCCAGGAGCAAGCATTTTTTAATTTCTTGGCTGCAGTCCCTGTCTTTGGTGATCTTGGAGCCCAGGAAAATAAAATCTGTCACTACTTCCATTTCTTCCCTATCTATTTGCCAGGAAGTGAGAGGACTGGATGCCATGATCCTAGTTTTCTTAATGTTGAGTTTCAAGCCAACTTTTGTGCTCTCTTCCTTCACCTGCATCAAGAGGCTCTTTAGTTCCTCTTCACTTTCTGCCATTAGAGTGGTATCATCTGCATATCTGAGGTTGTTGATATTTCTTCCAGCAATCTTAATTCCAACTGGTGATTCATCTAGCCCCACCTTTCTCATGATGTGCTCTGCATATAAGTTGAATAGGCAGGGCGACACTATACAGCCTCTCTGAACTCCTTTCTCAATTTTGAACCAATCAGTGGTTCCGTGTCCAGTTCTCACTGTTGCTTCTTGACCCCCATATAGGTTTCTCAAGAGACAAATAAGATGGTCTGGTACTTCCATCTCTTTAAGAACTTGCCACAATTTGTTGTGATCCACACAATCAAAGGATTTAGCATAGTCAATGAAGCAGAAGTAGATGTTTTTCTGGAACCCCCTAGCTTTCTCCATGGTCCAGCGTATGTTGGCAATTTGATCTCTAGTTCTTCTCCCTCTTCGAAATCCTGCCTGTACTTCTGGTAGTTCTCGGTCCACATACTGCTGGAACCAAGCTTGTAGGATTTTGAGCATAACTTTGCTAGCATGTGAAATGAGTGCAATGGTGCGGTAGTTTGAACATTCTTTGGCACTGCCCATCTTTGGGATCGGAATGTAAACCGACCTTTTCCAATCCTGTGGCCACTGTTGAGTTTTCCAAATTTGCTGGCATATTGAGTGTAGCACTTTTACTGCATCGTCTTTTAGGATTTTGAATAGCTCAACTGGAATACTGTCGCCTCCACTAGCTTTGTTGTTGCTCAGACTTCCTAAGGCCCATTTGACTTCACATTCCAGGATGTCTGGCTCGAGGTCAGTGTCCACCCCATCGTGGTTATCAGGGACATTGAACTCTTTCTTGTATAGTTCTTTTGTGTAATCTTGCCACCTCTTCTTAATCTCTTCTGCCTCTGTTAGGTCCTTGCCATTTTGTCCTTTATCATGCCCATCTTTGCATGAAATGTTCCCTTCATATCTCCAATTTTCTTGAAGAGATCTCTGGTCCTCCCTCTTCTATTGTTTTCTTCTATTTCTTTGCACTGTTCATTTAAGAAGGCATTCTTACCTCTTCTAGTTGTTCTCTGGAATTCTGCATTCAATTGTTTGTATCTTTCTCTTTCTCCCTGGCCTTTCACTTCCCTTCTTTCCTCAGCTTTTTGTAAAGCTTCCTCAGACAGCCATTTTGCTTTCTTGCATTTCTTTTTCTTTGGGATGGTTTTAGTAGCTGCCTCTTGTACAATGTTGCGAACCTCGGTCCATAGTTCTTCAGGCACACTGTCTATCAGATCTAATTCCTCAAATATATTTGTCACCTCTACTGTATATTCATCAGGGATATGATTTAGGTCATACCTGAGTGGCCTAGTGCTTTTCCCTACTTTCTTCAACTTAAGCCTAAATTTTGCAACCAGAAGCTCATGATCTGAGCCACAGTCAGCTCCTGGTCTAGTTTTTACTGACTGTATAGAGCTTCTCCATCTTTGTCTGCAGAGCACATAGTCCATCTGATTTCTGTGTTGACTGTCTGGTGATGTCCATGTGTAGAGTCGTCTCTTGGGTTGTTGGAAAAGAGTGTTTGCTATGACCATCGTATTCTCTTGAAAAAATTCTACCAGCCTGTGCCCTGCTTCATTTTGTACTCCAAGGCCAAACTTGCCTGTTATTCCGGTTATCTTTTGACTTCCTACTTTAGCATTCCAATCTCCCATGATGATAAGGACATCATTTTTTGGAGTTAATTCTAGAAGGTGTTGTAGGCCTTCACAGAACTGGTCAACTTCAGCCTCTTCAGCACCAGTGGTTGGGGCATAGACTTGGACTATTGTGATGTTGAATGGTTTGCCTTGGATTCGAACTGAGATCATTCTGTCATTTTGGAGATTGTATCCCAGTACTGCTTTTCCTACTTTTTTACTGACTATGAAGGCTACTCCATTTCTTCTGAGACATTCTTGCCTGTAGTACTATATCTGATGTTCGTCTGAATTAAATTCACCCATTCCTGTCCATTTTAGTTCACTGATTCCTAAGATGTCGATGTTCAGTCTTGTCATCTCTTGTTTGACCACATCCAGCTTGCCTTGATTCATGGATCTTACATTCCAGGTTCCTATGGAGTATAGATCTTTGCAGCATCAGACTCTCCTTTCACCACTAGATACATTAGCAACTGAGTGTCCTTTCGGCTTTGACCCAGTCACTTCATTCTTTCTGACGCTACTAGTACTAGCCCTCTGCTCTTCCCCAGTAGCATATTGGACACCTTCCAGCCTGAGGGGGCTCATCTCCCGGCGTCATATCTTTTTGCCTTTTGGTACTGTCCATGGGGTTTTCATGGCGAAGATACTGGAGTGGGTTGCCATTTCCTTCTCCAGTGGATCACGTTTTGTCAGAGCTCTCTGCTATGACCTGTCCGTCTTGGGTGGCCCTGCATGGCATAGCTCATAGCTTCACTGAGCTACGCAAGCCCCTTCACCACGACAAGGCAGTGATCCATGAAGGAGTTTGTTGTTGTTATGTGCCATCAACTTACGGTGACCCTGTGAAAGAAAACTCTTCAAGATGTATTTTCCATGACAACCCTGTTCAGCTCTTGAAGCCATTTGTTAATGGTTCATTTAAAAAAAAAATCACATCAATAATGTTGAAATAAATATTAGATCAATGTACTGTATCTGTAGGCCAAAGATAGGCAACATACGACCTTCTAATTGATGTTGTATCGCACCTCCCATATTTCTTGCCCATGGGCTATGCTGGCAGAGGCTGAGAGAGGCTGAAGTTCATCATCGGAAAGACCATGGCTTTCCCATCCCAAGGTCAATTAAAAAAAACTCCTGCTATGTTGGTACTCAACTGTATCTCATACCAATAGAAATAGTATTCTAAGATTGAACAAATCACTCCCGTTTCTTAAAGTACAATTCAGTACCAAAGAGTGCAGTACAATACAATGGAAAAAGAAAGGACTGGATTTTATTTCTGGTTTTGATGCTTCCCTATATCTATTATTTTTAAGCGGACCTTGCACTAAGCCCCCAAACAAACCAAGTGAAATCGCACTAGCTGGATGTAATTACACTAGTTTGGATGTAATGCCAAACTGCAGCATATACAACCTTTTGGAACTGCTGGACCACTGGATGTGGCACTGCATCAGGGAGCACATGCATGCACACAGATGCACATGTATGTGTGTGTATACACACATGTATGTGTGTGTATACACACATGTGACCTAGAGGAATATCTCAGGGAGGGAGCGGAGAGCCCTCTTCTAGCAGTGCTGATATAATTTATTGTTTCTAATAAGTTGTAATCTCCTTTGAGTGCTGTTTTTACAATAGAAGGCTGGGGCAGAAATGGTTTCATGGCCAGCCTCGATCCTGGGATAGACAGATCTAGTATCCCTGAGCACTGGGTAAAGCAGGGTTCTGTATTCTGTATTGACTTTTCATGCTAGGTGATAAGAACCACACTTCCACATTTGTCCAATCAAAACAGTTTCCTGGGTTTTAAGACTGTGGAGCAGATAGTAGGTGCTGAAGATAACTGGGCATTTTCCCCCTCTAGAACTCAGCTGGCTTGCTCAAGTTCGGGTGAATCAGCCAGCCATTCTGAGGCGTGCAGCACAAATCCAAATGCAACGGGCTGTGAAAAAGAATTGGCAGGTAAGCCCCCCTTTTTTGGTATTCTGCTCTCATGCATCTAAAATAGCCATTCTTCCTTTGTCTGTTTTAATAGTGAATTTCATTTGAGATGTCTATACGTTTAAAAGATGTGGCTTGCCAATGTTGTCATCAAAAAATAAATTACTAAAGGACATCCATGATGGGCTAGTAAAAGATGATTTCTTTATCCAAACAAGTTTCTCGATGGGCAAAGGTGACACTTCCAGACTGGTCAAAGCAGAAATTCATTAAATCTGTATTTGTGAGTGATAGGAGTATGCATTATCTAAACTGTCACATTTATTCTGCATAGAGATGGAGCTTATTTCTCTCAAAGTACAGCATTCTCAGGTAGAAAGTTCAGGCTCAGAATGTCAACTAGATGGAGAAGGAGGACTGGAATGTGGCACAGAAATGGCAGGGTTAACAAGTGAGATTTGTCAGACAGCTGCTGAGAACCAAAGCGTCTCAGATTCAGGGGAAATCCTATACAACAGGGAAGATCTGAGGAGGAAGAGTGTGAATTCATTTACCAGTGAGTTGGTGTCAAGCTAAATGAGTAGCAGATTGTCCCTGAGGGTGAAGTCAAGCCTTTTTGGGAAAGGACTGGTGGAAGGGGTCTTCAGTTTGGCATCAGTTGTTCACATGGGCAAAAGCTGCTTCCACAAACTAGAGAATTTTACTCTGAGTGGTGTTACTTGAGAACAATTTTCTTATGAAGAACTCAGTACTGGAAAAACCCTGCCTGGTTCCAATAAAAGTCTATTTCAGAAGCCTTCTGTTTTGATTTACTAGAAAGAGAAAAGGAAAGAGACATGCTCTCAGAATTCTGCTTCATGGGCAGTCCTCTTTTCAAAAGCAATCATCTTGCTCCTTTATTTTTAAAGTAGCCCACATATAACATGAGTGCCTCTGTGCCATGTCTTTACCAGTGACATTTTGTTTTACTGCTTGTTACTAGCGGTTGCAAGATCTTTTGTGTTTTTAGTATGTAATCAAAAACAGTTACTGGGTTCAGACAACAGAATAACCAGAGTATGGTTTGTTGTTGTATCATGGGTTGTTACTGAAGTGTGGATAATTGTGTTGTCTAAATCCAGATGAGATAACAAACCATGCTGAACAACCCACAGTTCACAAGCCAACAACAAACTATGGCTTCTCTTGTTTTTGGTTACCAAGCCATGGCTTATTAGTACAGTTAACATGATAAACCATGTTTCAATAACAGTCCACACTTAACCAATATTCATTTTTGTGGGTTATTGCTCTGTATTAACCCAGTCAGAGTACACGCATCTAAGTGGGCTTCAGCACTCTTAATTCTGAATCATGGCTTCACTATGCTGACTTGGCTTGTGGATATTGTTCTTCAAGAGTCAATGTGGTATAATGGTTAGAGCAGTCAGGTTAGGAATAGGGACACCCACATTGAAATTCATTCTTAGCAGAAACTTACTGTGTAAGCTCAAACTCAAAAAATACAATAACAATATAGAAATATAGGAACACAAACAGAGCAAATCAGAAGGTGCCTCCTGGACCATCTAGTCTGACCCCCAGCTCCAGCCGGCTCCGCTCACGACATGCCCACCATGTGCATGTCTAGCCTATCCTTGAAACCCTCACCGATGGGGCCTCAACGACCTCTTGTGGAAGCCCTTTCCACACCCTCGGGGTCCTAACTGTCAGGAAGTGCTTCCTGGCATCCAAATGGAACCTTTGTTCCCTGAGCTTCGCTCTGTTGAAACACATCCTGCCCTCCTCTGCAGGAGGAAAATAAAACTAGTATACCCCCCAACAATCCCACAGTCATTGTAGTTCATTGTTTAAGGGCACAATCCTCTGTGTATCTAGGTAGAAAAAAGTTCTACAGTGCCTGGTATTCCCTGTCAGCATGGCTTGCACCCTAACAGTTTAAATTAAAATGTCATTTGTGCAGTGAAAGCAGGAACTTTTCTATGGCTTCTCTATTTTCAGTTTCTTTTAAGACTGAGAAAGGAAACTCAAATGGGAGGAGGCCTCATAAGAGAGCCAATGGAATTTAAAAAGTTGAGCAAAAAGATAATTTATTAGGATGGATTTACAAGAAATTTCTACAATATGACACTGGAACTGAACAAGTTAAAACCTGTATTGTAAGAGCCACAGAATCATTCTGAATTAGGCTGCTCTGCCCCACATGGCTGGTAGCCCCACAGCTAACCCGGGAGGGCGATTTCTAACAAGTTGTTCTTGTTGCTAAAGGCAGCCTGGCTCCTGAGAGCTGTCACCTGCATCGATCTCACCACCCTCTCGGGCGATGACACCCCCTCTAACGTCTGCAGGCTGTGCTACAAAGCCAAACATCCCATCAGAGAAGATCTCTTGCAAGCTTTGGACATGCATGACAAAGGTATTGCAGACTGTACTTGACACTTGGGAAAGCTTGGCTCTGGTCACTTAACGCATATCTGGCCAAGGTGTGAGCTTTTGGTGTTTCTGCTTTCTCCATTTGACCTCTGCCATTGGATTGTTTTCTACTAAAACCTTGGGGTGATAAGGATTCAGTAACTTCAAATTATACCCATAGATGCTGTGAGGAGCAAATAGATTGCTCCTTTCCAATGCTGTCCCAGTAGAGACCATCCTCAGGACAGCAGGGGCCGTATCAGGCCCTGTTGCAAGCTGAAACGAATCAAAATTCTCCACATCTTTCAAGAGCGTCTGCACTGGTGCCACCAAGATCCTGTCGAGCAGAACTGCCTTACCTTAGAAGCTAAGCAGAGTCAGGCCTGGTCAGAATTGGAATGGGTGACTTGAGTGCATGATTCTGATTAATGTTATAAACTGCCCAGAGAGCTTTGTCTATGGGCAGTATAAAAATGTAATCATAACATAATAAATTAATATAAGCTAAAAACTTTGTCATTTTCTTCCTTCAAATGTGAAGAAAAAGACCTCACGTTTCCTGATAGAAGCCCCACCCTGATGTGGTTAAGAACTAGAATTACTGGAGCATATGCTGGACAAGATTTACAGATTTGGGTGCCGATGGGCGCACTGGGAACTTCCGTAGAGTTTTGTGAGCACGCTCACAAAATGGTTGCCGGGGGGCTTCACATTTGCAAAATGACTGCCATGGAGGCAGTCACAAAACATCCACTTCTCGGGAGGTAAACAGGTGAGTCTAAAAGAAAAGAAACAGCCATCCAGAACACATGCTAAAACATAGAGGGTTTTACCTTTAAAGGTGGCCAGAAAACAATTAAACTAAAACAACACATGCAAAGATCACATGTGAAATAATTAAAAACATGCACCACACCACACAGGCAAAACTTTTCCCTCACCCCCACTTCATCCACAGCTTTCTTTTCCCCTTTTTTCTGAGGGACTCGGCACACTACTAAATGAAGCTGAGGGCAATAATCACCCAGAAATCACCCAGATGCTAACGGGCAGCTTTTAAACAAATTAATCTATAAATAATAAATGTATAATAAATAACCTCTTGCCATATTTACTTTCACAGAATGTCTCTGGGGTCACATCCCTTTTCTTTTGCGGCACGCCTGCCTCCCAGATCATAGCAGTGGTCGTATTTAGTTTAATTTAAAACCGTTCTGCTTGATGTCAGGAGCGGTGTCTCCGGGCGCATGGGCGAGCATGCACATCCCGCTGGGCCCCCCGATGCGCAGCAAGATGGCAGATGCACAACACTTGGTTGTCCTTCCTTCACAGGCATCACTACTGCGGCCGTTTGTGTCTATCCAGCCAGGGTCGCTGATGCGGTCAAGGCCCTCAAGTCTGCCGGCTGTGACATCCCTGTCGCTTCAGGTAAGCTTTTTATCTGTGTTTCCTGTTGACAGCATTTTGGGGGGCTGTGGGGGAGACCTTGTGCGATGTGCTGCCCTCATTTTTTTCAACATGCAAATAGACTCAAACCTGTAAGAACCTGTGATCAGAATACATGAAACCAAATTCGGCATGTCGATTTTAAATAATTCTGTGTTTTCTATTCGGGGTAAATGACACATGAAAAGGGAGGTATGGGGTTGTTCACAGGGATGGCTAATTTGGAAGCAGTCCAATGGAGATGATGCATTTTTCACTTCTCCACCTCATTTTTCACCTTTTCCCCAGTCTAAATTGCTGCTGCTGGTAAAGTGTCCCAGGAGGGACATGGGAGAATCCATATTCTCCTTGAATTCTCTAGGAATCTTGAATGCTCCTAGTTGTGATGCTAATAGCAGGTCTTGAGCAGGGTGCATTTTGACGCAGAACATGGTGTAGTAGGGTAAGGACTAACCCACAACTGCTTCCCTGGTCAAATTAGCATCCCTCTCCCCAGCCCCATCCTTCTAGGAAGGAAAGAGGAAGACTTCCCGACACCCGACGCCATGCACATTTTGCCCTGCAGATGCATCCCAACTGGGCACGTAATGTACGGTGACTCTTCAGAGGTTGTTCTTGGGCAACAACTGCCATCAACCCTGACCTTTGGCCAGGCCATCTGGGGCTGATGTGAGTTGGAGTCCAACAGTATCTGGAAGGCCAGTGGTTTCCCCAACAACAGCAACAACTGGTATAGAGTCTAACTATGACTGGGATAGAGTCCAACTATGATGGGATACTGGGATCACATCTGCCCTTAACTCCTACTTGATATCCATGCAGTGGGTCTGCATTCCAGTGGAGATTCGTGGTGCTTGGCCTGACCTCTGAGCATCACCCCTTAAAATTGGGTGTCCCTGGGAAAGGAGTCCCCACCTGAGTAAGTCTTGGGTCCAGACAGCACCATCCTTCTTCCCAGCATGCTCCTGGATCCTCTGACTTTTTTTATGCTGAAAGCACCATATCCATAAAAGACTGTGAGAAGCCAAGCCCGGTGATCAGCGATGATGGGGGCTGCTGTCTGTTATGGAATCTCCGCTTGCTTCAATACTGGCTAGTTAGTGTCCTTCAGATGTTCTCAGAATCGGCACGTGATGCATTCATTTGATGGACTGTAATTTCCCTATTCTTAGTGGCAACTGGGTTCCCAGCCGGACAGACAGCTCTGAAAACTCGCTTGGAGGAGATCCGGCTAGCAGTGGAAGCTGGGGCCAGAGAGATTGACATTGTCATTAACAGAACCTTAGTTCTGACGGGCCAGTGGGAAGGTGAGTTTAGTTACGTCTTCAGAGAACCGGTTGGTCAAATGTGAGGCTCCCTTTCATTGTTATCTAGCCGTTTTAGAGCTCAAGTTGTACATTTGCGTCCAACTGAACACACTGGAAACATTGCTACTAAATTTTAGAAGCAGACAATTGGCCAAGATTTTCTAAAGCAGTTACAGGATTTATGTTGTGAGCTGGGATTCCTCTCTTCAGACCTTTCTCACAAAATGTTCTTTATTGATCAAAGCTTTTTGCTGAAGCACAAACACCCAGAGTAAATCTCTGACCATGCACTGAGCCGTTTGTTGAACCCGATCTAACATTCACCTTCAGGAACTCTCCTTATGAGCATGCCTGGGTCCCGTCCCTTTGGGAGGGACCTTCTGAAAGCGAACGTGCCTCCTCTCTGTACGCTGCTCCTCTAATTGGGCTGCCCCCTCTGTTGACGGTGTACCATGGGGTCAAGTGCTGTACCTGCTTCGTCTGTCTCTGAGAAAACCCCGTGTTCCAAGCCCCCTCCCATGAACTGTACATCTTGGTTATTCCCAGAGGCTTCCTGCCCACCTGGGGAGTCTGGCCTTGAGAATAAACACCTCCACGTCTCTCATCTCAACATCGGGAGTCGGCCCGCAATTGGCATGAGCGCAGTGAGGCAGGCCAGATAATGGGCATGGCTTCCTGCCCACCTGGGGAGTCTGGCCTTGAGAATAAACACCTCCACGTCTCTCATCTCAACATCGGGAGTCGGCCCGCAATTGGCATGAGCGCAGTGAGGCAGGCCAGATAATGGGCATGGCGGGCCAGATCCGGCCCATGGGCTGTAGTTTGAGGACCCATGGCCTAGAGCAACTGTCTTTCTCACTCCTGTTGACCAAAAGGTTCGTATCCTGGTGTGCGTGTGCCCAAAATGCACAACGGGGAGGTTTTCTTTTAAAAGATTTATTCTGGAGAATAACCAGACACCAACAAACCATTCCAGATGGCGCACCTGAGCAGTTCTCAGCCCTTTTACACATTGATCATTAAAGGGTTGCATGTAACATAGTTAACACTTTCTAATAGGTTGCAGTAGTAAAAAGTTGCAATGGTGTGATCTTTCCCACTTGCATACCAAAGAAGATTCTCCAAAGAAAGGGGAATGATGGGGTGCTATTACAAAGAAGAGGAGGAGGATGGGATGGGCTGGTGTGAATTGCCCTTTGTTTGAGCTCCATTATCTGTCAAGGGCCAACTGGCTGTCTCTGGAATGGTGCCTGATTAGTCTCAGCTACATTTCAAGGATGCGCACATGCTGATTTCTAGAAAAGAAGGTTTTCCCCAAGTCTGGTGCTGAGTCAATGATTGCATGATTTAACCCATGGAGGTTCTACCTATTGATACTCCTGTTGACTGAACACGCTCACCAGGACATGGCCCATTTGGTCAACACTCCCAACAACTGAGGTTGAACTGATGTGCATTCAACCTGGGCAGAGCTGGTCCAAGACATTTTGCTGCCTGAGATGACGGACAAGGGGCTGCCTCCTTCCCATTCCACGTATGGATGCCAACCAGCCTGAGCAGTGCATCTTATTTCAGGACTGCCAGCAGAATAGACCTCCGTTGTACTGCCAGCCCATGAGGAGATCCTCCAGCTCGTTGACGTTGCCCCATGTTCCCCATTCCCAGGGGCCCCTCTCCACCTGGGCCATCAGCCCGGTCTCTTTTTCTCCCCACAGACGCCCCTGCATGATTTTGACAGCTACGTATTTTCTCTCAACCAACGTATTGCCACAGCACAGAAAGTAAAGAAATTATGTCCAGTGATGTGGCTAAAGCCACCTTAATGCAGAGACGAGCAAGGAGGGTGGGCCTGGAGCAGCTGGGAAGTAGGGGACCAGGCAGGCTTTAAGATTCAAGGGAAACTGCTGATGGACGGGGCTAGGGGAAACTCTGTCCTAAAAGAGGGAGGGGAAAAGGGGCTGAGAATAGCCAGGCTGGTGGGACTGGGGGTAGAGGGCTACTGTATGATCCTCCCTTTTCGGAGGCCTTTTTTGGGAAGAACGTGTAATGTCCTTTCATGCCTTTAGCCATGCATGATTTGAGATTGGTGGGTGGCCTTGGGGGACACCCGCTGCCCTGAATGCAACTCAGTTGACTCCGATGCGCATGACAGAAAGGCAGCCATGCTGGACGTAAAAAAACCTCCAGGATTCATAGAGTTTAATTCCTCTACTGAACCAAATTAAACACCACGAAACACAGACAAGCTTCTGAGAAACCCGCAGCAATTTTCATCAGGAAAGGTGTTACATAAAGCCCGCTGGGGGAAAAAGGGCTATGTTGTGAGGCACGGTCCTCCTCCCGAGTTTCTTTTCATGCCACTCCAGAGTTTCTTTTCACAAGGCTTTATTGTCACAAGTTCCTGCTGTCACACATTTATGAGTCCACCCAGAGTGAAGTATTTAGCGCTTTCTAAAACCTCTCAGTCGCCACTCCACTCACAGCTTTCCTCCTACGCCAACTGAGAGGCGGGGTGCTGTGATACCTCCCCTACTCCATCAACTGGCTCTCCCACCTGTGTTGTCTCCTGGCAATCAGCATCGCCTCTTCCGGGGAGGGACCTCTATATCTGACAGGCCAGTCAACCTCTGGCGTGCACCCTGGCCAGATCCTAAGTCCTCCCCCGGTCTCCCATTGGCCCATGGGGGCTCTTGTGAGCCCCGGCTGCCAGCGCCACCGCTGGCTGGGCTCTCTCCCATTCCCTGGGCTGGCTGGCCCTCCCCTCCGCACTCCTCGTTCCTCAGACATTCCCTGGCCTTGATCTGATGCTGTAGTTGGCTGACATTCTAGAACCCCTTCCTCTTCACTGTCTGAACTCGAATTCTCATTGAAGCTATAAACTGGCTGTGTGCATCCTGACGTTTTCCTTGTGCACAGACACGGTAGACCAGATGTTGTGTGAATACCTCCATGACATTCTGAACATCGCTGTTAGCTGATGTTTCCCCATTCTCCCAACAGCCTGCTATTTGTAGCATCTTGCTGGGTGAAGAGCGCTGAATATCTTGTGGGCTAGTTGGATGCATTCATGGAGCCTGTTAGGTGGAGTGTTTGTTTAAAGTTTTTATATGTCATCCAATACTAAAAGTCTCTGGGTGGCGTACAAACAAACAAACAAAACAAAACAACCACATGCAACAAGCGATACACAACACGCTGCATATGATAAATAATGATAAACTCAAAGATAAAACCAATTAACTATTAACATTGGGAAAATAAAAAGGTCTTTGCCTGATGCCGAAAAGAATAAAGCGATGGCACCCGGCAAACCTCCCTGGGGAGCGTGTTCCACAGTCGGGGTGCCACCACTGAAAAGGCCCTTTTCCGGGTAGCTACCCCCCTAATTTCCTTGAAAGAGGGCTCCTGGAGAAGGACCTCTGCTTCAGATCTCAAGGGGTGGGCAGGCACATAGGGAAGAAGGTGCTCCTTCTCCCAGTTTATAGGACGCAAACCTGAAGAAGTAGCAAGGTTGTGAAAAGGGCAGTAGACGCACAACAGCTCGCTAAAGGCTATCTGAAGTGGACCAAGTTTGCAAACTTTGTGCGGGCGCATTACTGCTGGGGAAGGGTGCGGTGAAATGGGACAGTGGCACAAAAACGTTTATGGCTCCTCCAGAAGCCTCATCGGTCATCAAACAACCCAGTCCTGTACATGTTTACTTAGAACGAGGCCCCACTGGGTTCTCTGGGTTACTCTTCAGTAAATGTGTCTAGGAATCCAACCAGTGCTGTTTGCCACCGCCCCCCCCCCCGCCCCCCGTGAAAGCAACAGCTGCATTTTTCCAGTCTTGCCACCTGAAATCATTGGAAGTGCATGGTACTTGATGGGGAGCCACTGGCCTATGGATTTTCACATCAGCCCAAAGTGCTACAATTTTGACAGGCTGGTCCAGCCTTTTCTTTATCGCAGGCAAGCATGCAGAGCTCCGTGCAAGCAAGCAAACAGGCCAGCAGAGGTCGGATCACTCCATCCCTGCATTCCTGGCCTGCTTTGTTTCCATGCTAACTGCAGAGGAAGAAAAGTTTCTTCCTCCACAATCTGCGCAGCAACACCACAGCAGAGGGCTAGCATGATTTGCTCCTCTTTTGCCAGCCAGCACAAAAGAAAGCACATTTTTATCAGCTTCCTAAGAAGCAATTGCCCTGCATTTTCATGCTTCGTTTCCTCGTGGTCAGTATGGAACATGAAGGATACCAGCCACCTGTTGTAAAGGTTTGCACTGGCTGGTCATTGTTTTGGGCTCATAACCATGAGTTGCAAATCATATCAACTCCATTCAAAATGTACTAATGATTCTCCATGCCTTGAAACTCTTCATGCCTTTTTTTCTGTTTTTGCAAACGTGGCTGCCTGAAATAAAAAAAAAAAAAAAATAAAGCTCGTTACCTAAATTTGTTAATGGCTGCCAAAAATCATGTGAACATTATCTCCAGATTTATTTTTTTAACAAAGATTTCTGCAAAAGAATATTGTGAAAAATAATTTCCCCCATACCCCAGCACACTTTTGTCTAACTTAATGTGAAATGAAGAGGGGGAAAGGCAGTGCTTGGGTGCCAGTACTCTAATTATTTCCAAACAGAATTGTTAAAAAGAACTCAAGGGGTAGTGGGTTTAGATGGTGTATCTTGTTAAAAAAATAAGTGTGTTTGGTTCTTGACAACAAAATCTGTGTGTTTTCTAATTGGTTTTTGCAGAATTTCAGGGCACGCTTGGTACCGTTTAGACTGCTGTAGCTCGTTGTCTCCCTGGAATGCTATTAATTAGGGAGCTTTTTAATACAGTAGGAGATGGCTTTTCTCTGTAATTGGTTTTCTCTTAATGTACCTTGAATAGTTTGCCTTTAAGTGCTGACAGTGCTCCAATAACTAAGTTCTGTGCTTAGAAAAAACCCCCAAAAAGTATACAATTAACATCCTTGCATTAGAAAGCAACTTTTCTTTAACTGGAGAACAGAGCTCCAATAGTGTCCACCTAGGACAGGTGTGGATGTTATGTTTGGGTGGTTTGTGCAGGTTAGCCAATGTCCTCTTGAGCTTGTTTGGTTGGTGCAGATGTGATGTTACCTGATTTTGAACCATGGTTAGTAATTAGGAGCCGACCCTGGAGATATAAAGTTGCTCAGAAGGAGTCCAGATGAAACCCAAGCTTTATACTGAGAGATGTGGCTGTGAGATTGTAAAAGGTTAAAAGAACTTTGAATTTGGGAGATGTCCCTAGATTGAACTTACTGAACTGGTACTGAATCTATTTCTCCACTCTGGGGGTCACTTTCCAACCTTGAACAGCAGCCAGCATGATTCTTTCCTTTCCAGGTGTGAGAGGGCAGGAAGGCAAAGCCCCAACTCTCAGCTGCAAGGTCAGAGCAGTGTCCTTGAGCCTGGAACTGGGAACCTGGAATATCCTATGGCCTCCCAAACCACGCCTAGGGGCCATAGGATCATTCGGAGACATATTTTTACTTTTAGAATGGGGAAAAAAACAGCAAATGTTAGGCAGTTGGAGGAAGGGGGCATGGCCACTCAGGGAATGCCAGGAGGCCAGATTTGAGTCCAGCTGGTCAGATTTGGCCCACTGTCTAAGGTTCAGCACCTCTGACCTAAAACCAGGCCTTCCTTCCATGGTGGAACTCAGGATGGTATCCATCAGGGTCCCAGGCTGTCCCCCACCCACCCCCAGACCTGCTTCAACAAGGTCGGTGCATCATTTTGTTGTCAGACCACAGTTACAAGAGAATGCTACCAAGAGTCACATGTACTTTCGACATCCTGGGTGTTACGCTTTGTCATCTGTCTGCTGGGTCTGTGTGTTGCTTATCCACAGGGCTGTGCACAAGGCAGCTCACAAGCAGGTATCAAATGCCCAGTCATAAATATAGCAATTTGAACCACTACAAAAGCAGCAGCAACAAACTGTTCCAATGTCAAGAGGGAAATGCATAAGAGAAATATTGCGTTCAATCCATGCAACTTTGTGTAAAATGGAATGAATCTAACCCGAGCCAAGAGCTAAAATGAAACAAGTGGAGAGAGAGAAGCCACAGAAAGAAAGAGAGAGGAGAAACACTACCATATAAGGCTATGTTGACCTTGATTCCACCATAGCAACATGGGGCTTTCCGCAGGCCAGCCTACTCATGTGGCGACCTTTCTCCCATCTCCCACCTTGATTCCTTCTCTCAGTCCCTTGCTTATCTGATCCAGGGAAGTGAAGATGGCTACTTCTTCACGCTCCAGTCTCTGTTTCGTATCCTCTGGCACGGTCTTCAAGGCAGTGGGGTTTATTAGGATCCAAGGTAGTGAGACAAAGCAGATTTAATTATACTTTGTTCTTATCATTATCGCATTGTTCTTCCTCCAAGCTCAAGGGTGGCTTTCATAGTCCTTCTCCCCATTTTTATCCTTGCAACAGGAACCTGTGAGGCAGGTTAGTATGAAGGCCAGCAGCTGCCTGAAAACCACCCGGTGAGCTTCATGGCCAAGAAGGGATGAGAACGGAGATCGATCCCCTAAGCCCCAGTCCAGCACTAACCACTGGCTGGCCTGGGAGAAATAGGCCAGGGTCCCGGCTTCGGGCTATGCATGAAACACCCTGGTTCTGCTTTGTTGCCTTGGCAGGAGGAGCCAAGCAGGTGTGAACCTGCCCTGGGTTCCACTGCACAGCTTGTCTGCTGTAAGCCAAGATTCTCCAGGGTTGGGATTTACCTTGGTGTCCAAAGGCAGCCTCGGCTCCTTGTTCAGGAGTGTTTGGCAGAAGGGATGCTAAGTTACGGACAGAGGGGAAAAACGTGTGTTTGGTCCGCTAAACTCTTATCATTTGGAGGAGCATACAGGGAAAGATGCTGTGCCTGCAGTGGGAAATAAAGGCCCATTGTGAACCAGGGGCTTTCTAGGTCCTTTTTAATAGAAAAGGGCGGTGGTGGGGAGTAATATTTATTAATAGCATTCATCAGGCGAGGCCTAGATCTTTCCCTGACAGTAAAAATGACAAAACTGAGGCTGATGTACTCCAGATATATCATGAGAAAGCAAGACTCTCTGGAGAAGACTGTCCTGCTAGATAAGGTCTAAGCAGCAGAAGAAAGAGAAGGCCAAGTATGAAATGGATCAAATGCCAGAAAGGAAGCTCTTGAGCCTACCAGACCCATGAAGCTCACTAGCCTAACCTGTTTTACATTCTGCTGTGAGATGAACTAGGGAGGTCGAAGAGGATGTTATAAGCTACTTGGGGTTCCTTGCAGGAAAAAAGATGGGATATATATATTATATAAATAAACAGAGGAGGACTCTGAGCATGGGCCCTGAGTCTTCCTCACTCATATGTGAACTGCAAACATTTCTGATTTTGATGGCACACCTACTGAAAAGTTTATTAAAAGTGCCATGTTATAAAACTGAAAATATTTGAATGCCCTTGAATCTCACCCCCTCCTTCTGGTCCCTCCTTTATTATTATTTTTTTAAAGAGCCTTTTAAAGAGCCTGTGGCAAAGTTGAGGGTCATGTTTGATGGAAGGCAGCTGGACTTGCTGAACAGTTTTTCAGGCTGAATACATTTCAAAAATTGCTGAAAATGTTAAGTACTTTAGTGTGTGTCCAATTATGCTGAGCTTTAAGTTAAATCTGCTGTTACCTGTTGTTGAGTATCTTCACGCCACTTGAACTATAATTTGTCTATGCCTGGTCTTTAACAATTATTTTAAGTGCTTTTTAATGGATTGGAATATAAAAGCAAGTGTATTGTGCGGTTCCCTTTCTTAGTTTAGAAGCCGAGTCCTTGCACTAGAGTTACTGAACTCCTTTCTGACAGAGCTTTTCTCTAACCTTCCATTAGTGCAAAAAGAAAAAGAAGTGATTGTTCTGATATTTAAAAAACTAAAACTGTTCCATCTGGCTTTTCTCCCCTCCTGCTAGTCTGCCACAAGTAAGGACAAAAGACAAGCTATGTGCTGCCCTGATCCGTATCTCTTCTCAGAAACATGAGTTTGTATCCAAATATACATTAGCTTAAGGAAACTCATGGAAGAAATGTTTCTCACTGCCCCTTGTGCATCTCTGGAAGGTCAAGGGACCCTCCTAAAGGAAGAGGTTATGGCATGAGGACTTGACCTGCAGTGGGGGAGTTAAACACCCGTCAGTAAAGGCCTGTTGGCATCCAAGCTTGATTTGGGGTGATTCCTTTCGTCCTTGCAGCTCTTGGACCTCCAATTCTTCCAGTGGGACCTCTCCACACCTTTGGAGAGACAGGGGTGCAGGGAAGAAGACAACATGGGAAGTACTCCTTGTATAAAGTTCCTTCATCAACTTAGCCTGGGATGCAGGCTGTGCCCAGATCAAAGCAAAGGTTCCTTTTTCAGCACCAAGGCTCCAACCTGGGATAGGTTTTTGCCCTGAGGGGGCAGAGCAGACCAGCATTCCTGCCAGTGTTGCTGCTTCTGTTGGTGCTCAAAGATGCACTTTCCCTTAGCAAAAGAGCTCCATTTAGTATGGTCACTTTCCCCCTCTCAGCACCCACATTCTTCCTTCTGGGACTGGCAGAATTTTCACAGAAAGCACAAACGTTTAAGCGTAAAGCCCAGGGAGGGCAACCTCTGTGCTGTGGTGTTGCTTAGTCCAGCCTTCAGCACTCCATCCATACACCTGTGCCTTCAGGTTCCTGCATCTGTCTTGCAAACCTCCACTGAGAACTCCATGCTGCTCCCTGCCCAAAGAGAAAAAAGTGTGTAGGGCAGAGTGTGACTTCCCAGGAGAGGAGGGGCTTTGAGGTGGATCTTGTCCATATGACAACCTGTCAGCTTAAAATAGGGTACCTTCCCTAGGCATGGAAATATCAAGCTGAAAATCCAGACATGCCGTTTCCAAATTCCTTGTAACAAATGTCATTCTGCCTTCTTGGATTGGAGAGGAGCATCCTAGTCCAAGTTCAGATATTCAGCTTTGGCCGTCATGGTTTGTTTGAAATATGCCTACTTCAAGCCATGGGTTAGGAAGCTGGCATGTTTCGACAAACTAATGAAGGGTCGGCTACAGTTAAGCACTGAAGAAAAATGCTTAAGCAGATGTGGGAAACCTTTTTCATACTCAAGGCAAAGGCCAGAGAAGTGCTTGAAGGAGACATTCCAGTGCTGGATGATGCTGAAGGCCCAAGGAGTGGAACCCAAACTACAAAAACTAAGCTACAGGAGAGCTGTTTCATCCTTTCAGAATAGGAATAACTACAAAACCTGGAAACCACCCCCCCCCCCCGCCAAATAATGCATCAGGGAAAAGGGGAATGGGACCGGGGTAGGATATGACTCCAAGTTTCTCATCACTGTGCTAAACAGAAGTTAGCCTAAAACAGAGAGAAGAAGGAAGCGGGGAGCCCAGGCAGGGGAAGACATCTGAACTCAGCCAGGGAATTTAATGAAGCAACATGTATGGGGTTGCTGTTATATCTTGCTTTTGAAATCTTGGTCCCAGGGAGTCTTGTAATATTTGAGGCTTACTTTTTCCTATTCTTTCTCTTAACATGTTATGCATTATTTGTGCCTGTTATTTTTGTTTTTGTAAACCACCCAGAAAGCTCCACCAAAGGGCAGCCTATACATCTTTTAAATACATGAAATAAATATGAATTATTTTGATGGAGTTTGCATTAGTTCCAATTCTCCAGTATTCACAGTGGAGCTGAAACTAATTTCCATAATGGGGGGAAAGGAGCTCAAACTTTAAATATGCATTTCATACAGTTATGTTGGATTTTGAAAATAGACTTGATTTTAGCTGTTAAAGTAGAGCAGAGATGGAATGCTGAAAATGCTGAACTAGAGATGTGTTTTAAACTAACTTCTCTCCAACCCTCTTTGATTTTCTTTTGCTTCTAGTCCTCTATGAGGAAATATGCCAGTTCCGTCAGGCCTGTGGAGAAGCTCACATGAAAGCCATCTTGGGCACCGGAGAGCTGGGATCACTTACGAATGTCTACAAAGCTAGTCTTATAGCCATGATGGCAGGTAATTACAGAGTGTTATGGTGTGCCAGTTAAATAGGCTCTTTTCAGTATACATTGCTTTCCCCGTCCTTTCCCTCAGTTTATTTTTAAATACATTTTTATGCCTCCTAATACTGGAAGTTTTCTGTCTGGTTCACAACAGCTTAAAACTATTTCTAATTAATTTCCAATCTAAAATACCAATGAAATAACACTACATTTAAAATACAAACATAAGAACTTGACATACAATAAAAATAATTTTTACGCTACTATGCTTCCCAGCACCAGGACCAAGGATACATGTCAAAATTTAAAAACCTTCAAATATTTTAGGATGGTCCACCCTTCCAAAAATGCAGTGATTGTTTTGACAGCTCAAATCCATTCCCTTTCTTTAAAACATAGTCAATAAATACACCCCAAATCTCATTAAACTTAATTTTCTTTATATGACCTTTTCTTACTTTAATATCATGTTAATTTCTCATAAATAGCTACGTATATTCCAAACTTCTGTATACTCAGATAATTGGTAATCATACTTTGTTTTCCTGTTCTTCACTATAATTTGTCCCACTGCAAATTCTTAAATTTGTTATTAATTCTTTATTATCCCAGCTCAATTGTTTTATCAAATATTGAAAGTAATGCAATCTCAAGGCAAATATCTATATTTAAACTTAATATTTTACTGCAATCTTTGAAAACCTCTTTCCAAAATTTCATTATATATTTGCATTCCTACCACATATGGAAATATATACCCATTTCATACCCACATCCCTAACATGAAATTGGAGTATTTAGAATCTATACAATTCAACATAACTGAAGCATAAAACTACTTAAAATAGAAAATGCAGCATAAAATACAATATATAAAACTTTACATGGTTGAAACTACCTTTTAGTTTTAAAGCCAAACAGCACTACAAAGAAAAATAAAATTAAAACAAACTGAAGCTAAAGTGCCAGGGGAAATCAGAATGTCTTCACCTAGCGCAGGTGCCAGATGAGTCCCTGAGAATCGGGGCCACAAGAAAAGGCCCTTTCTTAGAAGCCACTGACCTGGCATTCCTTGCCAGGGACTCCTGTCGAAGGACCTCGGAGGATGATCTAAGGGTCTGGGCAAGTATATATGAGAAGAGACAGGCCCAGTTCTCAGCCCCATTCCTCTCCCCATTCTCAAATAGGCAGTATTCCTTGATCAGGGAGCCTGCTTACTCAAGTGGTGGGAGCAGATCCGGGGTGTTTTTCTCAGGTCTTCTTTTGCACCGTTGGGCTTCTCCTAAGCCCTCTGAGAGGTCCTTCTTGTGTGTGGATGGTACTGTTTTGGCTACATGAGGACCCATATTCCTTTATGTCTAATTCATGCTTAAAGAATAACTTCACGATTCTTAGAAAGGTTCCTTTCAAATTTAGGAAGGATTCTAGAAGCTCTGGCAGGAATCAGACCAGTAGGATTTAGTCTCCAAGAAGTAAAATGTCTCTTGTGCTTTGAGGATTTGGTGTTACCACGAGGCCAGAACCCAAAAGCAGAATGCTAGGCTATTTATACTGCCCTGCAGTAAATGGAAAATCCTATGAAAAATCTTCCGGGCTTTCAGTTGCAAAAAAGCTTGTATTGGAAGAGTCCTGAAAACACGCAGGAAGCCATCCTGAGACGTGTGGTGTGAGCCCAGAGTGTCTTAAACCAGGCAGCAAGAGGCAGGACCAGATGGAAGGACTTCGGAGACTGTGAGGTTATCCTTGTGGGACGTTCATTTGCTCAGTGTTTTCTGCAGGGGGAATGGGAAATGCCAAGCTCATCTGAATTTCTGGCATTACTGCACTCCTCTGTCTTTCTGTGTCCTCAGGAAGTATTTTTCTCATGATATTCTTTCAATAGAATAGCTGAAAGCCCAGTGTTAAAACCTGACACTTTCAGGCAAGTTTCAGGACTGCACCCCCTGAAAACCCATCAGGTCTAGTGCCTGAAAGAGGCTCCCACCCTCGCTGTAGCCCAAGAGCAGAGCAATCCAATGCTTTGGCAGACTACTTTAGAGGAGTGACTGAGCAGAACTTGTAGGTAGGCCTTCAAGAGCTCTGGGGCTACAACAGAAAAGGCCCTGCCCTGAAGTAGCCAGTGTGGTATAGTGGTTAAGAGCATGGGACTGGGACTCAGGCGATCTGGGTTCTAGTCCCTGCTTGGCCATGGAGCCAACTGGGTGACTTTGGGCCAGTCACAGACTCTCAGCCCAACCTACCTCACAGGGTTGTTGTTGTGGGGATAAGATGGAGGAGGAGAATGATGTAAGCTGCCTTGAGCTCTTTGTAGGAAAAAGGCAGGATATAAATTGAAGAAAGAAAGAAAAAGTAAAGCAAAGCAGTGCTGTGTGAAGTTGGCATTTTTAGTCCATCCAGTCAGAAATCCTCTTTCTTTCTATGGCACAGTCGCCTGGGAGATATTCAGATAAACATGGAGTAGTCTAGTCCGTGTTTCACTTTCCCCCATTGTGTGTGTGCGCGGTGGGGGGATGTTGGAGGAGACCATGTCTATATCCAGTCAATGGTCCTTGGAAAGCATTGCACCAGAGGGCCTGTGCTGTAACACTGTCTTCCTTGTGCATCGGCCTGCTGCAACCACATTTTGAATGTCTTATCGGGGTCACACATTGGTGGAGGTAAAATTGGGTTCGGGCAGGATGGGAGTGCATCAAGACAGACTACGATCTCTAACATCTCCCCTGCTTCCGTGACCCCCATGAGAGCAATGAGTCAAGGTATTAATCCAGATCTAGAGTATCAAGTACCATGGTCCTGCTTTTAAGCAGACCAGAGGGTGCTCAAGAGGAACATTGTTCCAGTCCAGCTCCTACTTCAGCAAAAGCCCCTTGGATGCCCCCCGCCCCCAGTCCAGGCTGATAGTTCATTTGGCACTTCTTGTAGCTTTCAGAACTATATTAATCTCTTTCTTTTTTAATTAAAATCTGAACATCCGAATCATTAGAGGCAAAGATGGCCCCTAATTAATCCAATAAGCTATGTACAGTTTCCTCTTTTTTGCGGGGGGGGGGGGGCTTTTTGCATAGTATTTGGTGCAGTTTCACTGCAATACAGCAGATGGCTCTGCTGTTAACGCTATTCTCTTCTTCCCCCCACCCTACCCCACCCCTCTATTCGGATTGTGAGCTCTTCTCCCTTTTTAAAATACATGTAGCTGCTTCCGTTCATCTGTGGCTTTGTAGCTCTCTGCATTTGCTTGGATCAAGCAAAACAGCCCGATGTAGCAGGCTGCATTTTGAAAGTGGAGCAGATGAATCTGGAGAAAGGGAATCTTCCCCTGAAAGTCAGTGTCAAACTGAGGCAAGATTTGGAAGCTTCTGGGGGTGGAAGGGATGGTAGAAGAAAGCTTCCCCGTCAGACTCCTCCTTGATTTGCTGCGTGGCCCTGTTGCCTGGTCTGAGCCAAAGTACGAAGAGAAATGCCTGGGACACTGATCATGCTTAATCCCAGCCATTTGTCTCCTGATGACTATTGAATAGGGAAGTCTGAAGGGGTTACACTCCTGTGCCAGCCATGCTGAATACAAGAAGCGGGTTGGGCAACGTATTGTCTCGGAAGGGACCCGGTGCTTGATCAGGAGGAGACTGTGGAAACGTCAGGGGGTTGATCTCTTTATAAAGAGGATTGTAGTTCCTGTATTGTGTTTCCCCAATCTGCTGACCATTAGATGTTTTGGACTCCAACCCCCATCAGTGCCAGTGGGCATGGCAATAGTAGTTGCAGAATACTACCCTAAGTATTGGGGGTATGTATTTATTTATGTTTCGATTTATATCCTGCCTTTTTCCTATAAAGGGCTCAAGGCAGCTTACATCATTCTCTTCCTCCATCTTATCCCCACAACAACAACCCTGTGAGGTAGGTTGGGCTGAGAGTCTGTGACTGGCCCAAAGCCACCCAGTTGGCTCCATGGCTGAGTGGGGACTAGAACCCAGATCGCCTGAGTCCCAGTCCCGCACTCTTAACCACTACACCACACTGGCTCTCTGTATGTAGAAACCTCTGCTCTGTCCTGTAGGCTGAGGTCTCATCTTGACACCTGTGGGCTCCACCTCTGTCATCTTCCTGGTTTTTAAGCATTGAGCAAATTAATTTGCTTTGTCTCATTGGTTTCTCTTCTGAGAAGTGGGTGACATGGCAGCCATTTTGTGGCAGTGCCCACAGCCCTGTCTGAAGATTCCAAATGTGACCCCAAAGGGTTGGGAAACTCTATCCTCAGGAGCATACCCTGAAAGGTTATTTCTCCTCTTTCCCCCTCTATCTGCCATCTCCTCCTCTTCCTCCACCACCTTTGCTTGGAAGTCTGAACTGATCCATTGCAGGGGGCTCTTGAAATTATGCTGCGGGCCGCCTGGCATTAAATTGCCTGGTGGACATGGCCCCAGATTTACAGTCATGTTCTATGAAATGGCTTCAGGTACAAGGTACCGCGAGTTGCCCAGCAGCAAACAAGATGCCCCGTGGCTACCATTTCTACTGGTGTGCAGTGGGGCAGAATTGTGAGTGGGGGAGAAATGGTGGGTGCTTGCCCAGTCCTTTTTCTGCCGGCCTCACTCTGCAAATCACCTTGTCTAGCAGCCTAATCTATCACCGTCCACCTTTTCTCCAAGACTAGCTTTCTCCAGTAAAGATGGGGAAACGGCAGAAGGGAAGGACTGTGGAGGAAAAGCACCGAGTGGGGAATGGAGGACGCCCCTCTTCTTCCCTCCAGATGCCCCCTTGTCACTGCTTGCTGGAACCCCAAACGGGATCAGGGATCTGATATGGCCCATTCAGGTGTTTTGTGGAAGGGAGAATATAATTTTGAGCTTGACAGCAACAGTTTGACATCGCCTGCACAAGGAGAACTTTGGACCTGGAGAGGCTTCCCTTCCTCACCTAGAAAATTTGGTTTCTGAGTCAGGTGGGGACCTTGCACGAGCAGGAAGGTGAGGCCAGAGGGGGGGCCGGGGGGACACGAACGGAGGTAGCTGT